GAACACACGCACGAACGGATGCACTGACGCACGCACACACAGACACACCAACGCACGCATGCATGGACGCACTGATGCACGCACACACAGACACACCAACGCACGCACGCATGGACGCACTGACGCACGCACGGACAGCCGCAAGCACTGGATTGACGCTCTCAGCCCGTACCAGACGGCGTTAACGTGAGACGAGAGAAAGAAACAATGAGTTGTGTTCCTCAGCTGCCAGTGGCGGAGGAAGAGGAGAAGGAAGAGCAAGAGGAGGAGAAGGAAGAGGAGGAGGAGGGGGAGGAGGAGGAGACGACGGGAGAACGGAACTCAGACTCTGAGCCGCCTGAGACCACCGTGGAGCCGCCCACTCCACAGCCCGACGCAGACAAGGGGGGAGACGAGGTGGTGGAGGAGGAGGTGGAGAAGATGTAGGAGGTGGAGGAGATGAAGGAGGTGGCGGAGGTGGAGAAGGTGAAGAAGGTGGAGGAGGTGGAGGAGGTTGGAGGAGGACTCGTGGCGATTGAATCAATTGGAGTCGCCTGTTTGCTCGTTCTGCAACTCGTCCTGGGAATCACGCACCAGCGTCACACGCGGGCAAACGTCGCGGACAAGAATGCCCAGTTATGCAGTGACGTCAAAAGTAACGTGTTACCGATTACTCGAGGGCCTGGGAAGTAATCCGTTGCCGATTGATGAAGGGATTCTAAAGCAATCCGTTACTGATTACTGGATTCTAAAGTAATCTGTGACCAATTACTCGAGGGATTCTAAAGTAATCCGTTACTGATTACTGGATTGTAAAGTAATCCGTTGCCAATTACTCGAGTGATTCTAATGGACGCGATTCCCGTACCGGGTTGGGTGACCCCCACGGCTCGACTCCCGGCCACGGCTAACATCAGTGGCGATGATGCGAGGTCTGAACCTCGATCCCCCCCCCCCCGCACGCTCCAGCATGGGGAGAGGCCTTCATCTAGCAGTGGATCGACGAGACTGTGAGAAAGGGGCACGGGGGGGGGGGGGGAGTGGGAACGTGGGGACAGTGAATATCTGTGTCCCCGTGTCTCCATGTCCCCGTGTCTCCGTGTCCCCGTGTCTTCGTGTCCCCGTGTCTTCGTGTCCCCGTGTCTCCGTGTCCCCATGTCTCCATGTCTCCGTGTCCCCATGTCCCCGTGTCTCCGTGTCTCCGTGTCTCCATGTCTCCGTGTCCCCATGTCCCCGTGTCCCCATGTCCCCGTGTCCCCATGTCCCCGTGTCTCCGTGTCCCCGTGTCTCCATGTCTCCGTGTCCCCGTGTCCCCGTGTCTCCGTGTCCCCGTGGCCCCATGTCCCCGTGTCTCCGTGTCCCCGTGTCTCCGTGTCTCCTGTCTCCGTGTCTCTCGTCTCCGTGTCCCTGTTCCCATATCCCAGCATTCCCGAGTCTCCATGTCCCCCATGTCTCCATGTCCCCCGTGTCTCCATGTCCCCGTGTCTCACATCGTGTCGGTACTTTTGCTCCGCGAGTCGCTGCTGGTAACCCACGAGCTGGACGCTGTCCGCACCTCACTATCTGCGGCGATGGCATCAACGTGAGAACATCGACCCAACGTCGCATGCAGACGTCGGGGTTCTAAATCGCACAGACGTGCAACTCACCACCATATTTACCCTTTACCTGGTGCACCGCGCGCGTGCGTGTGTGTATGTGTGTATGTGTACTTTGTGCAATAATAATAATAAATGGTATTCAGTCTCAACGAGTCTCAAGAATCCTTCCCCGAGGCCGATCATTCTGCCAAGCGGTACCTCCGAGGGTTCGGGACTTCTCTCGTTTGGGATAAACCCCCCGGGGGGGGGGGGGGTAACCACACCAAGCGCCGTGCTGCACACGAAGGGGCGCCGTGACGCTCGAAGCCACGCACAGATGCATTCACGAATCCGTCGCCGCACCGAACATCGTCTTGGCCGGCACGCAGCTCGGGGACTTTGTGTTACGGTGTTACAATAAATGTGTTGTCTCGAAAAGGAACGCCTGCGACTCAGTTGGACTCACTCCAGATCCATAATAGGTTGTTTTGGGTTAGATCACGTAAATATACAAATGTGTCGTTAAACCCGCCACCAACCGACACAGCCAATTCGTAAGGGTTGTCACGTTAACAGAACGTGCCAATTCGTTACCAGTACAGCACACCGCTGCGTTGGGAGAGCCAAGCCACAACATTCACAATCTGAGTACGACGTTTCGCCAGTAATTACAACTAGCTTCATCAGGCGACAGACAGATTTGTGAAGTCCACCTGTTTCGTTCCTTAAATAGAGGCGTAGATGTGATGACAACACTTGTGCGCTCTTCCTGCGCGAATCAATGTCCATTGTGTGTGTCGTGTTGTGGATTCAGGAGACGTCGGAGATGATTCTTGGAGGCAACACTATTTATTAATGCCACACTCGGCAGTATAGTCTCACATCACTCAGGGCTACACCACTGTCTGGGGAGGTACTGTCTCCGGGCTAACGTGCCCTAACACGGGACTACACTCAGGGTCCTCCGGCTACGGGTGCCTCGGGGGAGGCTATTCTAGCTCGCCCTCACCAGGGTGCGAGTTGCGACCACAGACCCACTGGACCCGGCCCTCACAAGGACGTCGGGCCGGGGGTTCCCAGGGTCTCACCACTGAGCCGCACAGAGTCCCGGCCCTGACAAGCACAGCGGGGCTAGGGGTGTCAGGGCCCTATCTCGCTGCTCTTCGGCTTCGGTCTTCAACTGGCCCAGATCGGCTGGGGAGGTGCCCTTCTATGCCCCTTGCCCATCGAGGGGTTGGGGGGCTGCGTGGGATCCCAGGGGGCACCAGGGGGCTCAGCTGTGTGGGATCCTGAGCCCCCAGCAGCCCCTCCTCTCTTGGGCTGGCACTGCAGCCCTCCCCTGGCGGTACGAGGTACCGCCCTAGACGGGCCCCGTCCACCATTGCAGGTAAGTGCGGCCCATCTACGGCGCTACGTGTGGACTAAAATAGCCGTACCAACGGTAATCCCTATTGAAGTATGGTGGCTTGTATAGGTATGCGTTTAAACAATGTCTTATTTGATGATTCGCTTCCGAGCAGCACGAAGTCTGTAACTATCCGAACGGTTAAAATTATTTTAATTTCTCCCAATTTCGATAGGTTCTCTAATTAGTCTTGGCTAGTAGCTACTTTTGCACATAACTTTAACATTATCAAAATCAATTGAGTGTCCTTATTGGCACGCGTGTTCTGCTACTGCTGACAGTTGTATTTGGGAGTATTTAATATTTATTTGTTGTTATTTTAGTATCGTGCTGATCATTCATCCTGTTCACCCAACATAGCATTTAAGGAACGAAACAGGTGGACTTCTCCACAAACCTGGCTGTCGCCTGATGAAGCTGGTTGTAATTACTGGTGAAACGTCGTACTCAGATGGTAAATGTTGTGGCTTGGCTCTCCAACACACCGGTGTGCTGTACTAGTACACTACATTATACATTACACTATACACTACACTACTATACACTACACTACTATACACTACACTACACACTAGTGCTGTACTAGTAACGAATTGGCACATTCTGCTTACGTGACAACCCTCACTAATTGGCTGTGTCGGGTGGAGGCGGGTTTAACGATACATTTATATATTTACACGATCTATTATGGATATTGGTCGTGAAAGCCTACGCGTTCAACATACATAACATGGTTGACCAATAGGGAGCCATCCCTTGACCGCACATGGGCATCGATCAACCTCCCATTGTCTCATACCGACACGTTGTAACAAGTCACCTGCTTACACTTTATTCACCTGTTTTTGCGCCAGTTATAGGCACTCCTATAACTATCTATACGGTCACATATACTGACTTCTCCCCGCTCTTATCTATTCTGCACCTCACTTATCCTGCACTCAGCAGCTCTGCTCTGTGACTCCGCACACAGCGTCTTCGCACTCAGCGAAGACTGTCCACCCCTCATTGTGACTGGAGCCAGAGCCAGTCCACAGGACCTCCTGAATACCGCACAGATCCAAGCGGTACCGGTCCAGCTCCCAACAGAGGGGCAGCCTCTCCTCCGCAGTGAGCGTGTGAACACTCCACGTGGCCACTCGGTGCCTGTTTGCTGTTTCTGGAGGAACCCCGAGGGTGCGGGTTCAGTTTCCTGGTTCTGCCAAATGGGGTTTGGCCAGGAGACGTCATAAATGCATGTCCCCCTGGGGCCTCGGGCACAAGCTTCGTTAAGATTTTTTTTCACGTAGTTTAGTGGTACACAGATTGAAGATGGAGAGTTACCAGCCCCTCGCACCCATCCAGAGCCCTCTTTGGCCACAGTGTTGGCTATAAACGCCATGAGGGGAATGGCCACTTGAAATTGGTCCTCCCCCCATGGCACTGCTCACCACAGCGTTACCGTCCTGCACCACCGAGAAGTTAGGGGATTGTTTTGCCGGACTCTCACTCGCACACCCACCCACTCGCACACCCACCCACTCGCACACCCACCCACTCGCACACCCACCCACTCGCACACCCACCCACTCGCACACCCACCCACTCGCACACCCACCCACTCGCACACCCACAAACAGTTGTTCACTTACTCATCTACTTACTCACTCGCCACATTCACAGTCACTCATCCGCTCACTCACACGCCCACTCGCACAAAGATCACCTGTATAGCCTCAGCAGACTGTTGGGGCAAGTTACTGTTCGCGAGCACCTATGCAGGCCGGCATGGCACAAGAGGGGGTTGGGTGGCCAGCACCACGCCCGGCCCCCTTTGTCTCCCTCGCAGCGATGTTCACATAATGCACGAGGTACGCATTGAGGCCGAGTCGACCTTGGGGAGGGGCCGAGGACCGGTTCAGATATCCGTCACTGGTGTCGGTGGCCGTGAGGGGGAATCAATCTCGGGTCGCCGGGTTTGGGAGCGCATCGTACTAACTGCTGCACCACTGGCTCTCCACAGAGTGAGGTCCCCAACACCCACTGACGCAAACGTGTTCCTGTCATCACGTTTATTAAACTCACAACATCTACATCAACAGTGTGCATCCGCAACGTCTCCCCGTGCTTTCCTGTGCGCCTACCCACATCGCCGCGGGTTTCCCCGTGTGTCCCCGCGTCTTCGTGTCTCCCTGCGGCTTCCCGCATCACCTCGCCTCCCGTGTCCGCCTGAATCCAACCTCCGGGGGGTTGTCTCCGTGTCTCTATGTCGCAGTGTCTCGGCGTGAGTGTCTCTGCGACTCCGTGTCCCCGAGCCTCCGTTTCTCCGTGTCCCTGTGTCCCCGCGTCTCCGCGTCCCTCCGTTTCTCCGCGTCCCCGTGTCCCCGAGTGTCCGCGTCCCCGTGTCCCCGCGTCTCCGTGTCCCCGCGTCTCCGCGGTTTGTTGTCCCCGCGTCTCCGCGCCTCCGCTTCCCCGCGTCTCCTGGTCTCCAAGTCCCCGTGTCTCGCATCGCGGCCGTACTTTCGCTCCATGAATCGCTTCTGGTAGATCATCTGCGGGAAGTTGTCTGTGAGCACGCGCACACCACACAGCATGGTTCATCGTCAGCAGCCCGCCATGGTCTATACACTGCTGCGAACATGCCGCACAGCCCCGTGTGTTATAGCGCTCACAGTTGCTGTGATGCCACACACATGCCATCTCACTCTAGCATGCGAGCTCACTTCCTTCGCTCGCTCACTCCCTTCGCTCGCTCACTCACTCGTCTCAGCGGTCGGTACCAAGTCTACACCTCGTGTTCTCCGATCTGCGCCCACTCTTTCTCACATGTGCATGTATGTACGTATGTTCGCGTGTACGTTGAACTTGTTTCGCACCATCATACGTAGCCAACCGTGCTAAATTGAGGGTACGGGGGAAGGACAACCAACTAAACACGAAAAGTGCATAGCTTCAGTGGCTTCCTAATAGTCTATTGGGAGAATGTTCCAGACAGCCGGAGATGCGAATCTGAAAGGACAACTGTGCGTATGAGTGTAAGTTGAGGCCTTCATCGGTGCTACTCACTAAACAGCACTTGCCTTAACAGGCTATACGGGGGACCTTTGTCTTTGTGTGTATGTACATTGAACCTATTTCGCACCACTGTACGTAGCTAACCATGGTTAATGGGAAGTGTAGGATTACAACAATCTAAACACAAAACGCAGTTCTAAAGAAATTCGTTTGTCAATCACGATCAGGGGGTGGGGAACGTCCGGCCCGCGGGCCGTATGAGGCCCACGAAATCATTTGGTGTGGCCCTGCCAAGGCAACCGCAGGTGGGACTAGAAGTTATATAAATCTAGGAGCAAACCTGGAAAAGCAGTTGCGAGTAGCAACATCATCAACACCAGCTAATATCACACGCCTCGCCAAAGAGAAGCAGTTCAAGCCATCGCATTAGGGGTGAGTTAATTAAATGTTTGACCAAACATAACAGGCTAATTTTTAAGTTGATCATTTTGTATGGCCCGCAAATGGTGTTCTAAATATCCAAATGGCCCTTGGCAGACTCAAGGTTCCCCACCCCTGATCTAGATGATGATGTAAAAGTGCATAGCTCCAGTCGCTTCCTAATATCTGAAGGAGCGTTCAAGAAGGCAGAAGAATCGCGTCTGAAAGTGCTTTCTGCATCTCTGTGTCAACCCCAGTGTGCGCACCTCTCCACCCTTCTCTACGTCCATGTGTATGCTACGTGTAAGTGTATACACTGCGTTTGTGCACGCGTGCTGTGTGTCCTACGTGTGTGATGTGTGTGCTATGTATGTATAGGCTGTGTTTACACTGTGTTGTGTGTGCTGTGTGTTCGTATATGGTGTGTGTCCTGTGTGTGTACATGCTGTTATTGTCCTGTGTGTGCTGTTTGCACGTATACGCTATGTGTGTCCATTGTGTGCTATGTTTGTGTATATGTTGTGAGTTCAGGCATACTGTGTTTGTACATATATATGCTGTGCGTGTTCTGTGTGCGTTATGTGTGTGTATATGCTAGGTGTGTATGGTGTGTGTGTACATGTATATGCTATGTGTGTGTGTGTGCGTGCTGCGTATATTTGCTGTGTGTGTTGTGTCCTGTGTGTGTGTGCTTGCGTACTGTGTGTCCTGTGTGTGTGCTTTTGTATTGTGTATCATGTATCTGTGTGCATGCTGTGCATGCTATGCGTGTGCCTGCTATGTGTGTGTATGCTAGGTGTGTATATGCTGTGTGTGTATATGCTGTGTGTGCTGTGTATATATGCTAGGTGTATATGCTGTGTGTATGCTGTGGGTGTGTATGTGTGTGATGTGTGTGTATGCTCTGTGTGTGTATGCTGTGTGTGCTATGTGTGTGTATGCTGTTTATGAGTGTATGCTGTGTGTGGGTGTATGCTGTGTGTGTGTTTGCGTGTATGCTGTGTGTGTATGCTGTGTGTATATGCTGTGTGTGTTTGCTGTGTGTGTATATGCTGTGTGTGTATGTGCTCTGAGTGTGTATGCTCTGTGTGTGTATGCTATGAGTGTATATGTATGCTGTGTGTGTGTATGCTGTGTGTGTGTGTATGCTGTGTGTGTGTTTGCTGTGTGTGTGTTTGCTATGTGTCTGTATGCTGTGTGTATATGTGCTCTGTGTGTGTACACTATGTGTGTGTACACTATGTGTGTGTGTGTATGTTATGTGTGTGTATGCTGTGTGTGTGTGTGTATGCTGTGTGTGTGTGTGTATGCTGTATGTGTGTACACTATGTGTGTGTACACTATGTGTGTGTGTGTATGCTGTGTGTGTGTATGCTGTGTGTGTGTGCGTGCCGTGCGTGTGTTGCTGTGGTGCATTATTAAGCCTCACGTTTTTCAAGGGCATCTTGAGCGGCCTTCATCTCAGCTCTTTGAATACTGCACACGCACACACAGGTACACACACAGGTACACACACAGGTACAGACGCACAGGTACAGACGCACAAGTACACACACAGGTACACACACAGGTACGCACACAGGTACACACACAGGTACACACACACACACACACAGGTACACACACAGGTACACACACAGGTACACACACACAGGTACACACACACACAGGTTACACACACACACAGGTACACACACACAGGTACACACACACAGGTACACACACAGGTACACACACACACAGGTACACACACAGGTACACACAGGTACACACACACACACACACAGGTACACACACAGGTACACACACAAGTACACACACAGGTACACACACAGGTACACACACACACAGGTACACACACAGGTACACACACACAGGTACACACACACAGGTACACACACAGATATACACACAAGTACGCACACAAGTACGCACATAGGTACACACACAGGTACACACACAGGTACACACACAGATACACACACAAGTACGCACACAAGTACGCACACAAGTACGCACACAGGTACGCACACAGGTACGCACACAGGTACACACACAGGTACGCACACAGGTACACACACAGGTACACACACAGGTACGCACACAGGTACGCACACAGGTACACACACAGGTACACACACAAGTACACACATACACACACAGGTACACACACAGGTACACACACAGATAATCGTCACCGGTGGTGGCTGTCGCTTTGAGCCACCATCGGTGACTATTATCTCAACCGCACCAAGGCCTCCCCCCCTAGGTCGACTCAGCCTCAAGTGAGTACCTCATGCGGTGTGCAGCAAACATCGCCACTCGGGAGACACAGGCGGCCGGGGCGTGGTGCTGATCACCCACCCTCTCGTGCGCCGTGCCGGCCTTGACGGGTGCTGCTACTCGCTAACAGCCCTTGCCCCAGCAGCCTGTGAAGGCTGCACGGGAGTGGGTGGGACCTTTGTCTCGGTGCGGCGTCTCACCTCTGCCCTGTGCCGCAGCCCAGTCGCTCCCCCTTGAAGTAGACGGCCACCGTGTAGGTGCGCGCGTGCGAGGGGCCCAGAGTCTGGAGAATCCTGTGGGCAGAGCACATCGTGTGAACACACACGGTCCCTGTGTGTACCTGTGTGTGCCTCTCTGTGTCTCCGTGTGTACATGTGTGTGTGTATCGCTGTACGTCTGTGCGTGTCTATACATGTGTGTATGTGTGCATCCGTGTTTGTCTGTGTGTGTGTGTGCCTCTGTGTGTCTATGTGTGTCGCTGTACGTCTGTCTGTGTGTCCCTGTGTGTCCCTGTTTGTGTGTGTCGCTGTACGTCTGCACGTGTCTATACGCGTGTGTGTGTTTCTGTGTGCGTCTGCGTGCTTGTTTGTCTCTGTGTATGTCTCTGTGTGTGCGTCTCTGTGTGTGCGTCTCTGTGTGTGCGTCTCTGTGTGTGCGTCTCTGTGTGTGCGTCTCTGTGTGTGCGTCTCTGTGTGTGCGTCTCTGTGTGTGCGTCTCTGTGTGTGCGTCTCTGTGTGTGCGTCTCTGTGTGTGCGTCTCTGTGTGTGCGTCTCTGTGTGTGCGTCTCTGTGTGTGCGTCTGTGTGTGTGCGTCTCTGTGTGTGCGTCTCTGTGTGTGCGTCTGTGTGTGCGTCTCTGTGTGTGCGTCTGTGTGTGTGCGTCTCTGTGTGTGCGTCTCTGTGTGTGCGTCTCTGTATGTGCCTCTCAGTACGTGTGCTTTTTTATATATGTGTCTATGTGTGTGTGTAGTGCAACGGTTAGCGTGCTGTGCTACGAACCCGGCAACCCGAGTTGGATTGCCGCTCAGAGGCAACACCCTTGACGATTATCTGAACCGGTCCTGGGCCTCCCCTAGGTCGACTCAGGCTCAAACGAGTGCCTGATGTGGTGTGTAAATATCGCCACTGCGGAGACGAAGGCAGCCGGGCGTGGTGCTGGCCACCCACCCCCTCGTGTGCTGTGCTGGCCTTCATAGGTGCTCGCGAACAGCACTTGCCCCAAACGTCTCTTGAGGCTACACAGGGGATCTCTGTCTTTGTCTGTGTGTTTGTCTTTGTGTCTCGGTGCATGTCTCACTTGTAGACAGGGATGTCTGGCTCTCGGCCCTCTGTTCTCAGCGTGAGGCAGCACTGCTGCAGCTGGGACTTGGGGTCATTCCAGTCCTGGTTCAGTATGAACTCCTGCGATGACAACCACACACCAGGCACACAAACACTTAACCACACATACAATCACACACCCAACCATTCACTCAACCCCACACAACCACTCACTCAATCACACAACCGCTCAGTCACCCACCCAACCACACACTCAATCAACACTCAATCATTCACTCAACCATACAACCACTCAGCCGCACACCCATACACACCCAACCACTCAACCGTTCAGCCAAACACACAATCACACACCCAGACACACAACCACTCAGCCACACAACCACTTAGCCACACAATCACTAGGCCACACACCCAAACACACAACCACTCAGCCGCACACCCAATCACACAACCAACCACTCAACCACACAATCACTAGGCCACACACCCAACCACTCAACCGTTCAGCCAAACACACAATCACACACCCAACCACTCAACCACACAATCACTAGGCCACACACCCAACCACTCAACCGTTCAGCCAAACACACAATCACACACCCAGCCACACAACCACTCAGCCACACAACCACTCAGCCACACAATCACTAGGCCACACACCCAAACACACAACCGTTCAGCCAAATACACAATCACACACCCAACCACACAACCACTCAGCCTCACAACCACTCAGCCACACATCCAACCACAGACCCAACTACACACTCAATCACACAACCGCTCAGCCACACATCCAACCACAGACCCAACTACACACTCAATCACACAACCGCTCAGCCACACATCCAACCACAGACCCAACTACACACTCAATCACACAACCGCTCAGCCACACATCCAACCACTCACCGAATCAACAATCAACCACAGACTCAAATATACAACTGTTCAAACACAGTCGACCACTCAACCACAAGCATGCTCACTCAACCTGGCGGCGTTGCATGTGGTGAACGGAGTGGTGAGTGCGTGTGGTGAGCTGGCACTCGCCTTGAGCCGAGGAAAGAAGCACACGTCCATGAAGCAGCGCACGTACTGAAGGTCCTTGTCTATGTAAAGGGCGGAGAGGAAGGCTGTGGACAGAAAGACGCAGACCAGGCAGCTTCCACACAGCGTTATGCAACCGATGAAAAGATGCCGCTTGATTGATTCGGAGTGAGACCTCTGCTGTCAAACCGGAGGCGGTCATGAGCACACTGCCCAGGTATGGGAAACTCTCCACTCCAGATGGAAATTCCTCCAGTACAGCCATCAAAGGCTTCACGAACTACGTGGTCAAAATAGATGTTAAATAATGTGGTAGCCAGAGGACATCCCTGTTGTACCCCATGGTGTACAGGGAATGGCTCCAACTCCCGGCCACGTAGTTTTACCTGGGCCCGCTCACCATCATGAAGGTCCTTAATGATAATGAGCAGCAGGTTAGGGACTCCGAAAGCACGAAGAACAACCCAGAGCCCAGGCCTACTGATGGTATCATAGGCCTTGACCAGGTCAATAAAGCAGAGATGTAGGCCTTGTTGGAATTCCCTACACCTCTGCTGTAGCAGACGGACAGAAAATATGGCATCTACGCAGGACCACTTTTCCTGAAACCACATTGAGGTTCTGCAAGCCTCTCCTCAGCGTGCCTGGCAAGGCGATGTTGAATAATCCTAGCCAGAACCTTTCCCGGCACACTTAGGAGTGAGTTGCCCCTGTAGTTGTTAGTCTGTGCGGTCCCCCTTCTTAAAGAGGGGGACCACCAGGGCATGGTTGAGTTTTCCTCGGGGAGGCCCAGGCCCGGTTCAGATAATCGTACATTTGTGCGCGTGTGTGTACGTGTATGCGAGTATGTGTGCGCGAGTGTGTGTGTGTACGAGTGTATGCGCGAGTGTGTGTGCTTGTGTGAGTGTGTGTGTTTGTGTGTGTACATGTGTACGCGTGTGTGTACGTGTGTGCGAGCGCGAGTGTGTGTGCGCGAGTGTGTGTGTACGAGTGTATGCGCGTATGCGTGTTTGTATGCGAGTGTGTGTATGTGCGCAAGTGTGTGTGCGTGTGTGTGAGTGTGTGTGCGTGTGCGCGAGTGTGCGAGTGTGTGTGTGTGTGTGTGGGAGTGTGTGTGAGCGTGTATGCGAGTAAGCGAGGAAGCGGGTGAGCGGGCGAGCGGTGAGTGAGTGTGTGAGTGAGTGAGCGAGAGAGCGAACGCGTGGGTGAGTAAGCGTGAGCGAATGAGTGAATGAGCGAATGAGTGAATGAGCGAATGAGTAAATGAGTGAGTGAGCAAATGAGTGAGTGAGAGTGCAAGTGAGCAGATGAGCGGTAAGTGAGTGGGTTAGCGGATGAGTGAGTGTGTCAGTGAGTGAGAGTGTGAGTGGGTGAGTGAGCATGCGAGAGGGTGAGTGAGCGAATGAGCGTGCCAGCGAAAGGGTGAGTGAGCGAATGAGCGTGCGAGCGAGCGACTGAGACAGACCATTTGTCCATGTATGCGTGCGTGCGGGTGAGCGTGCGGGTGAGCGAGCAGGTGGGCGAGCAGTGAGTGGGCGGGTGGGTCAGCCCTAGCGCATGCACTCACACTCGAGCAGGTCGGCCAGAACCTTGGTGCGCATGAACGAGCGCTGCGTCTTGTCGTTGTTGATGGCGAAGTTGGGCAGCCCGAGGTCCAGCGCCACCTTAGCCTGCGTGCGGTTGTTCACCAGCGAGCTCCGCAGCAGCTGCGCCACATCGCAACCACAACCACATCACAACCACAACCACACCACATCGCAACCACACCACAACCACACCACCACAACCACACCACCACAACCACACCACCACAACCACACCACAACCGCACCGCAACCACCGCACACCACCACAACCACCCCACAACCACACCACATCGCAACCACACCACACCACCGCAACACAATCGCAACCACACCACCGCACCGCACCCACACCACACCACCGCACCACACCACACCCACACCACACCGCACGGGATATCATACGTCACAACCACGGCACCAAGACCGCCATAAGCTATAACTCATAAACTATTTAAATTTTTTCTAGATTTGAAGCTTTCGTGGCTGCAAGGATTCATACTCTTAGGTTTTTTTCGGTAAAGTCACGTAGGTAAAAAATTAAATTAATAAAAGTTAAATAAAAATACAATAAAATAATAAATCACGACGTTTCGGAGGCAACACAAGTCTCCGTCATCAGGTGGGACCGTCACAGCCAGATTTACTGTATCAAGTGAGGCAAAAAATTCCAAGATACAAGCTCTTAAATATAAGTTAAGGGGGGGGGGGAGGAGGGGGGCAGGAGCTTATCTGAGTGTGGTAGCCAATGAATGGAACGTATTGTGGGGGGGGGGGGGGCTAAAAGAGAATGTTACCACTGAGCTTTGTAGCTCTTTGTCAGAAGCGACCTGGCTAATACTAATGACAGCTCAGCCAAGTCGCTTATCATCGTGCGGACATTGATAGACGCCATATACTCAAATCGTGTGGTGATGTTGATTATAAAAGTGGAGGAAAAACCGGAGGACCCGGAGAAAAACCCACACGACCACGGGGAGAGGTGTCACGCTCAGGATCGAACCAACGACCTCCTTTATACCTGGCCTTTGACTAGCACAGAGACCCGTAGACTCACGCAGAGACACACAGACTCACACAGACCCGTAGACTCACACAGAGACCCGTAGACTCACGCAGAGACCCGTAGAATCAAACAGAGACCCGTAGATTCACACAGAGACCCATAAACTCACACAGAGACCCGTAAACTTACATAGAGACCCGTAGAATCACACACAGACCCACAGACTCACACAGAGACCCGTAGACTCACACATAGTCTACACAGACTCTAACATAGACTCATAGACTCACACAGAGACCCGTAGACTCACACAGCGACCCTAAGACTCACAGAAAGACCCGTAGACTTACACAAAGAGACCCATAGACTCACACAGAGACCCGTAGACTCACACAAAGAGACCCAAAAAATCACAATGAGCCCCGTAGACTCACACAGAGACCCATAGACTAACACAGAGACCCAAAGACTCACAGAGAGACCCGTAGACTCACACAGAGACCCGTAGACTCACACAGAGACCCATAGTATCACACAGAGACCCAAAGACTCACAGAGAAACCCGTAGACTCACACAGAGACCCGTAAACTCACATAGAGACCTGTAGACTCACACAGAGACCCGTAGACTCACACAGAGACCCGTAGACTCACACAGAGACCCGTAAACTCACATAGAGACCCATAGACTTACACCCCGTAGACTCATACAGGGATGAGTCAGGTGAATAACGGTAAGCGTGTGGTGAGAGCATCATCGTGAGTGGCGCAGTGAGTCACGGTGAGTGCGGTGAGTGCGGTGAGTGAGTCATGGTGAGTGGGTCACGGTGAGTGGGGTGAGTGGGGTGAGTGTGGTGAGTGTGGTGAATGGGTCACGGTGAGTGGGGTGAGTGTGGTGAGTGGGGTGAGTGTGGTGAGTGGGGTGAGTGGGTCACGGTCAGTAGGGTGAGTGTGGTGAGCGTGGTGAGTCACGGTGAGTGTAGTGAGTGTGGTGAGTGTGGTGAGTGGGTCACGGTGAGTGTGTTAAGTGGGTCATGGTGAGTGTGGTGAGTGAGTCATGGTGAGTGTGGTGAGTGTGGTGAGTGAGTCATGGTGAGTGTGGTGAGTCTGGTGAGTCATGGTGAGTGTGGTGAGTGTGGTGAGTGTGGTGAGTGTGGCAAGTGTGGCGAGTGAGTCATGGTGAGTGGGGTGAGTGTGGTGAGTGTGGTGAGTGAGTCATGGTGAGTCATGGTGAGTGGGGTGAGTGTGGTGAGTGTGGTGAGTGTGGTGAGTGGGTCACGGTAAGTGTGGTGAGTGGGTCATGGTGAGTGTGGTGAGTGTGGTGAGTGTGGTGAGTGGGGTGAGTGGGTCACGGTGAGTGGGGTGAGTGAGTCACGATGAGTTCGGTGAGTGTGGTAAGTGTGGTGAGTGAGTCATGGGGAGTGTGGTGAGTGTGGTGAGTGAGTCATGGTGAGTCATGGTGAGTGTGGTGAGTGTGGTGAGTGTGGTGAGTGTGGTGAGTGGGTCACGGTAAGTGTGGTGAGTGGGTCATGGTGAGTATGGTGAGTGGGGTGAGTGGGGTGAGTGGGTCACGGTGAGTGGGGTGAGTGAGTCACGATGAGTTCGGTGAGTGTGGTGAGTGTGGTGAGTGTGGTGAGTGTGGTGAGTGTGGTGAGTGAGTGTGGTGAGTGTGGTGAGTGAGTCACCGTGAGGTGGCCCTCGTGGTGCTCTGGGAAGTGCCGGTAGAGGTATTCCGTTGTCACCATCTGCATGATGGAGTCACCCAGGAACTCCATGCGCTGATTGTGACCCCTGGGCGAGGGGTCAAGAGGGGTCAAGTGGGGTCAAGACAGGGGTCAAGACAGGGGTCAAGTGGGGTGTGGGGAGCCAGGTGGGAGCTGCCGAGACCGGGATAGAGTCCCGATCGCAAGCGCAACACAAACAATAAAGTGCAGCAGGAAGCACGGAGCAATCGGCACAAAAGAAACCACATCACATGAAAAAGTTACACTTTAGTGAGTGGTGAGCGAGTGGTGAGTGAGTGGTGAGCGAGTGGTTACTGAGTGGCGAGTGAGCGGTGAGCGAGTGTGAGCGAGTGGTTACTGAGTGGCGAGTGAGCGGTGAGCGAGTGTGAGCGAGTGGTGAGTGAGTGGTGAGTAAGCGGTGAGCGAGTGGTGAGTGAGTGGTGAGTAAGCGGTGAGCGAGTGGTGAGCGAGTGGTGAGCGAGTGGTGAGCGAGTGGTGAGTGAGCGGTGAGCGAGTGGTGAGCGAGCGGTGAGCGAGTGGTGAGCGAGTGGTGAGCGAGTGGTGAGCGAGTGGTGAGTGAGCGGTGAGCGAGTGGTGAGCGAGTGGTGAGCGAGTGGTGAGCGAGTGGTGAGTGAGCGGTGAGCGAGTGGTGAGCGAGTGGTGAGCGAGTGGTGGGTGAGTGGTGAGCGAGTGGTGAGTGAGTGGTGAGCGAGTGGTGAGCGAGTGGTGAGCGAGTGGTGAGTGAGCGGTGGGTGAGTGGTGAGTGGTGAGTGGTGAGTGAGTGGTGAGTGAGTGGTGAGCGAGTGGTGAGCGAGTGGTGAGCGAGTGGTGAGCGAGTGGTGAGTGAGTGGTGAGTGAGCGGTGAGTGAGCGAGTGGTGAGTGAGTGGTGAGCGAGTGGTGAGCGAGTGGTGAGTGAGTGGTGAGCGAGTGGTGAGCGAGTGGTGAGTGAGTGGTGAGCGAGTGGTGAGCGAGTGGTGAGTGAGCGGTGAGCGAGTGGTGAGTGAGTGGTGAGTGAGTGGTGAGCGAGTGGTGAGTGAGTGGTGAGCGAGTGGTGAGCGAGTGGTGAGTGAGTGGTGAGCGAGTGGTGAGCGAGTGGTGAGTGAGCGGTGAGCGAGTGGTGAGCGAGTGGTGGGCGAGTGGTGAGTGAGCGGTGAGCGAGTGGTGAGCGAGTGGTGAGCGAGTGGTGAGCGAGTGGTGAGCTCACAGCGTGAGGTGGTTGAAGCCTACGGTGCGCAGGGTGAAGGCCCGTGCCAGCAGGCGGATGTGAGAGAAGTCCACCCCTGGTGAGCGAGTGGTGAGTGAGTGGTGAGTGAGCGGTGAGTGGTGAGCGAGTGGTGAGCGAGTGGTGAGTGAGTGGTGAGTGAGTGGTGAGTGAGTGGTGGGTGAGCGGTGAGTGAGCGGTGAGTGAGTGGTGAGTGAGTGGTGAGCGAGTGGTGAGTGAGTGGTGAGTGAGTGGTGAGCGAGTGGTGAGTGAGCGGTGAGCGAGTGGTGAGCGAGTGGTGAGCGAGTGGTGAGTGAGTGGTGAGTGAGTGGTGAGCGAGTGGTGAGCGAGTGGTGAGTGAGCGGTGGGTGAGTGGTGAGCGAGTGGTGAGTGGTGAGTGGTGAGCGAGTGGTGAGTGAGTGGTGAGCGAGTGGTGAGTGAGTGGTGAGCGAGTGGTGAGTGAGCGGTGAGCGAGTGGTGAGCGAGTGGTGAGCGAGTGGTGAGCGAGTGGTGAGCGAGCGGTGGGTGAGTGGTGAGTGAGTGGTGGGTGAGTGGTGGGTGAGTGGTGAGCGAGTGGTGAGCGAGTGGTGAGTGAGTGGTGAGCGAGTGGTGAGTGAGTGGTGAGCGAGTGGTGAGTGAGCGGTGAGCGAGTGGTGAGTGAGCGGTGAGCGAGTGGTGAGTGAGTGGTGAGCGAGTGGTGAGTGAGTGGTGAGCGAGTGGTGAGTGAGTGGTGAGCGAGTGGTGAGTGAGTGGTGAGCGAGTGGTGAGTGAGCGGTGAGCGAGTGGTGAGTGAGTGGTGAGCGAGTGGTGAGCGAGTGGTGAGCGAGTGGTGAGCGAGCGGTGGGTGAGTGGTGAGCGAGTGGTGAGTGAGTGGTGAGCGAGTGGTGAGTGAGTGGTGAGCGAGTGGTGAGTGAGTGGTGAGCGAGTGGTGAGCGAGTGGTGAGTGAGTGGTGAGCGAGTGGTGGGTGAGTGGTGAGTGAGTGGTGAGCGAGTGGTGAGCGAGTGGTGAGTGAGCGGTGAGCGAGTGGTGAGTGAGTGGTGAGCGAGTGGTGAGCGAGTGGTGAGTGAGTGGTGAGTGAGTGGTGAGCGAGTGGTGAGTGAGCGGTGGGTGAGTGGTGAGCGAGTGTGAGTAAGTGGTGAGCGAGTGGTGAGCGAGTGGTGAGTGAGTGGTGAGCGAGTGGTGAGCGAGTGGTGAGCGAGTGGTGAGCGAGTGGTGAGTGAGTGGTGAGCGAGTGGTGAGCGAGTGGTGAGTGAGCGGTGGGTGAGTGGTGAGCGAGTGGTGAGTGAGTGGTGAGCGAGTGGTGAGTGAGCGGTGAGCGAGTGGTGAGTGAGCGGTGAGCGAGTGGTGAGTGAGTGGTGAGCGAGTGGTGAGTGAGTGGTGAGCGAGTGGTGAGTGAGTGGTGAGCGAGTGGTGAGTGAGCGGTGAGCGAGTGGTGAGTGAGTGGTGAGCGAGTGGTGAGCGAGTGGTGAGCGAGTGGTGAGCGAGCGGTGGGTGAGTGGTGAGCGAGTGGTGAGTGAGTGGTGAGCGAGTGGTGAGTGAGTGGTGAGCGAGTGGTGAGTGAGTGGTGAGCGAGTGGTGAGGCGAGTGGTGAGTGAGTGGTGAGCGAGTGGTGAGTGAGTGGTGAACGAGTGGTGAGCGAGTGGTGAGTGAGTGGTGAGCGAGTGGTGAGTGAGTGGTGAGCGAGTGGTGAGCGAGTGGTGAGTGAGTGGTGAGCGAGTGGTGAGTGAGTGGTGAGCGAGTGGTGAGCGAGTGGTGAGTGAGTGGTGAGTGAGCGGTGAGCGAGTGGTGAGTGAGTGGTGAGCGAGTGGTGAGTGGTGAGCTCACAGCGTGAGGTGGTTGAAGCCCACGGTGCGAAGGGTGAAGGCCCGTGCCAGCAGGCGGATGTGAGAGAAGTCCACCCCTGGTGAGCGAGTGGTGAGCGAGTGGTGAGCGAGTGGTGAGCGAGTGGTGAGTGAGCGGTGAGCGAGTGGTGAGCGAGTGGTGAGCGAGTGGTGAGTGAGTGGTGAGCGAGTGGTGAGTGAGCGGTGGGTGAGTGGTGAGCGAGTGGTGAGCGAGTGGTGAGTGAGTGGTGAGCGAGTGGTGAGTGAGCGGTGGGTGAGTGGTGAGCGAGTGGTGAGCGAGTGGTGAGTGAGTGGTGAGTGAGCGGTGAGTGAGTGGTGAGCGAGTGGTAAGTGAGCGAGTGGTGAGTGGTGAGCGAGTGGTGAGCGAGTGGTGAGCGAGTGGTGAGCGAGTGGTGAGTGAGCGGTGAGGTGAGCGAGTGGTGAGTGGTGAGCGAGTGGTGAGCGAGTGGTGAGCGGTGGTGAGCGAGTGGTGAGTGAGCGGTGAGCGAGTGGTGAGTGAGCGGTGAGCGAGTGGTGAGTGAGTGGTGAGCGAGTGGTGAGTGAGTGGTGAGCGAGTGGTGAGTGAGTGTGATCGAGTGGTGAGTGAGCGGTGAGCGAGTGGTGAGTGAGTGGTGAGCGAGTGGTGAGCGAGTGGTGAGCGAGCGGTGGGTGAGTGGTGAGCGAGTGGTGAGTGAGTGGTGAGCGAGTGGTGAGTGAGTGGTGAGCGAGTGGTGAGTGAGTGGTGAGCGAGTGGTGAGCGAGTGGTGAGTGAGTGGTGAGCGAGTGGTGAGTGAGTGTGAGCGAGTGGTGAGCGAGTGGTGAGTGAGTGGTGAGCGAGTGGTGAGTGAGTGGTGAGCGATGGTGAGCGAGTGGTGAGTGGGTGGTGAGTGAGCGGTGAGCAAGTGTGATGATGGTGAGCGAGTGGTGAGCGAGTGGTGAGTGAGTGGTGAGTGAGCGGTGAGCGAGTGGTGAGCGAGTGGTGAGTGAGTGGTGAGCGAGTGGTGAGTGAGTGTGAGCGAGTGGTGAGCGAGTGGTGAGTGGTGAGCGAGTGTAGCGAGTGTGAGTGAGTTGAGCGAGTGGTGAGTGAGTGGTGAGCGAGTGGTGAGCGAGTGGTGAGTGAGTGGTGAGTGAGCGGTGAGCGAGTGGGTGAGTGAGTGGTGAGCGAGTAATGGTGAGTGGTGAGCTCACAGCGTGAGGTGGTTGAAGCCCACGGTGCGAAGGGTGAAGGCCCGTGCCAGCAGGCGGATGTGAGAGAAGTCCACCCCTGGTGAGCGAGTGGTGAGCGAGTGGTGAGCGAGTGGTGAGCGAGTGGTGAGTGAGCGGTGAGCGAGTGGTGAGCGAGTGGTGAGCGAGTGGTGAGTGAGTGGTGAGCGAGTGGTGAGTGAGCGGTGGGTGAGTGGTGAGCGAGTGGTGAGCGAGTGGTGAGTGAGTGGTGAGCGAGTGGTGAGTGAGCGGTGGGTGAGTGGTGAGCGAGTGGTGAGCGAGTGGTGAGTGAGTGGTGAGTGAGCGGTGAGTGAGTGGTGAGCGAGTGGTGAGTGAGCGAGTGGTGAGTGGTGAGCGAGTGGTGAGCGAGTGGTGAGCGAGTGGTGAGCGAGTGGTGAGTGAGCGTAAGTGAGCGAGTGGTGAGTGGTGAGCGAGTGGTGAGGCGAGTGGTGAGCGAGTGGTGAGCGAGTGGTGAGCGAGTGGTGAGTGAGCGGTGAGCGAGTGGTGAGCGAGCGGTGAGCGAGTGGTGAGCGAGTGGTGAGTGAGTGGTGAGCGAGTGGTGAGTGAGTGGTGAGCGAGTGGTGAGTGAGTGGTGAGCGAGTGGTGAGTGAGTGGTGAGCGAGTGGTGAGCGAGTGGTGAGCGAGCGGTGGGTGAGTGGTGAGCGAGTGGTGAGTGAGTGGTGAGCGAGTGGTGAGTGAGTGGTGAGCGAGTGGTGAGTGAGTGGTGAGCGAGTGGTGAGCGAGTGGTGAGTGAGTGGTGAGCGAGTGGTGAGTGAGTGGTGAGCGAGTGGTGAGCGAGTGGTGAGTGAGTGGTGAGCGAGTGGTGAGCGAGTGGTGAGTGAGTGGTGAGTGAGCGGTGAGCGAGTGGTGAGTGAGTGGTGAGCGAGTGGTGAGTGGTGAGCTCACAGCGTGAGGTGGTTGAAGCCCACGGTGCGAAGGGTGAAGGCCCGTGCCAGCAGGCGGATGTGAGAGAAGTCCACCCCTGGTGAGCGAGTGGTGAGCGAGTGGTGAGCGAGTGGTGAGCGAGTGGTGAGTGAGCGGTGAGCGAGTGGTGAGCGAGTGGTGAGCGAGTGGTGAGTGAGTGGTGAGCGAGTGGTGAGTGAGCGGTGGGTGAGTGGTGAGCGAGTGGTGAGCGAGTGGTGAGTGAGTGGTGAGCGAGTGGTGAGTGAGCGGTGGGTGAGTGGTGAGCGAGTGGTGAGCGAGTGGTGAGCGAGTGGTGAGCGAGTGGTGAGCGAGTGGTGAGCGAGTGGTGAGCGAGTGGTGAGCGAGTGGTGAGTGAGTGGTGAGTGAGCGAGTGGTGAGTGAGTGGTGAGCGAGTGGTGAGTGAGTGGTGAGTGAGTGGTGAGTGAGTGGTGAGTGAGTGGTGAGTGAGTGGTGAGTGAGCGAGTGGTGAGTGAGTGGTGAGTGAGCGAGTGGTGAGTGAGTGGTGAGCGAGTGGTGAGCTCACAGCGTGAGGTGGTTGAAGCCTACGGTGCGCAGGGTGAAGGCCCGTGCCAGCAGGCGGATGTGAGAGAAGTCCACGCCGATGGAGACCTCCAGCTCGGTGAGCGAGCGCAGCACGGGAGATGCCGCCACCAGGTGCCGGTCCGTGCCGGGCTCCTGGGACTAACCGTGACAACCACCACAACCACCACAATCACTATCACCACCACAAACACAGCCACCACAACCACCACAACCAGTATCACCACCACAAACACGGCCACCACAACCACCACAACCAGTATCACCACCACAAACACGGCCACCACAACCACCACAACCAGTATCACCACCACAAACACAGCCACCACAACCACCACAACCAGTATCACCACCACAAACACGGCCACCACAACCACCACAAACACTATCACCACCACAAACACAGCCACCACAACCAGTATCACCACCACAAACACGGCCACCACAACCACCACAACCAGAATCACCACCACAAACACGACCACCACAACCAGTATCACCACTACAACAATCACGACCACGATCACCACAACCACTAACACTGCCACAAACACAACCATCACAATCACAACCACCACCACCCCCACAACAACCACCACCACAACCACCACAATCACTATCACAGTAGCCACTATCACCACTATCACTACCACCTCAACCACCACCACCACCACAGTCACTATTACCACAACCACTATCACTGCCACAAACACAACCATCACTATCACAACCACCACCACAACAACCACCACCACAACCACCATAAACACTACCACCACCACCACAACCATCACAACCACAATCAGGAGGGGATTAGGGGTTTAGGAAAGTGATCAGGTGAACGGTGAGGGGATCAAGCGAGGGATCAGGGGAGGGGTGAGGGGGGGATCAGGGGAGGGATCAGGGGAGGGGTGAGGGGGGGATCAGGGGAGAGAATCAGGGGGGGATCAGGGGAGGGATCAGGGGAGGGGTGAGGGGGGGATCAGGGGAGAGAATCAGGGGGGGATCAGGGGAGGGAGGGGCACCTGTAGTGGGTGCTGGGGGTAGTTGAGCCAAACTTCCCTGAGATTCTGAAACAACAACAACAACAGCAGCTACAACAACAACAACAGCAGCTACAACAACAACAACAGCAGCTACAACAACAACAACAGCAGCTACAACAACAACTGAGAGAGAGTGAATGGTGCTGCGTGTGTCTGTGTGTGTACAATGAACTTCTTTCGCACCTCCGTACGTAGCCAACCGCGCTAATCGGAGGAGCTGGTGGAAGGACAACAACTCTAAACACACCAAGCAAGGTCTAAAGAAATGAGCTGGATGATGTAAAAGTGCAGCATAACTCTGAGTGGCTGACTAATATCAGAAATAAAGGAGCATTCCAGATGGCCGCAGAAGCCAAATCTGTGTTTCTGTGCTGTTAGTAGTGTGGTTGTTTAGATTGAAAGCTTTCGTGACTGCAGGGATTCATCTTCTTGGTTCTTTCGGTAAAGTCACGTAGAAGGGAAATAATAAAATAATAAAAATAATACAAATTCTCACGACGTTTCGGCCACAACGCAAGCAGCCGTCCTCACGCCTGAGAAAATAGTGTGGTTGTTGTGTTTCTGTGCTGTTAGTTGTTATCGTTGTTGTTGTGTTACTGTGGTGTTAGTAGTTGTGGTTGTTGTGTTACTGTGTTGTTAGTTGTTGTGGTTGTTGTTGTGTTACTATGGTGTTAGTAGTTGTGGTTGTTGTGTTACTGTGTTGTTAGTTGTTGTGGTTGTTGTTGTGTTACTGTGTTGTTAGTTGTTGTGGTTGTTGTTGTGTTACTGTGGTGTTAGTAGTTGTGGTTGTTGTGTTACTGTGTTGTTAGTTGTTGTGGTTGTTGTGTTACTGTGGTGTTAGTAGTTGTGGTTGTTGTGTTACTGTGGTGTTAGTAGTTGTGGTTGTTGTGTTACTGTGGTGTTAGTAGTTGTGGTTGTTGTGTTACTGTGCTGTTAGTAGTTGTGGTTGTTGTGTTACTGTGCTGTTAGTAGTTGTGGTTGTTGTGTTACTGTGGTTAGTAGTTGGTTGTTGTGTTACTGTGCTGTTAGTAGTTGTGGTTGTTGTGTTACTGTGGTGTTAGTAGTTGTGGTTGTTGTGTTACTGTGCTGTTAGTAGTTGTGGTTGTTGTGTTACTGTGCTGTTAGTTGTTGTGGTTGTTGTGTTACTGTGCTGTTAGTAGTTGTGGTTGTTGTGTTACTGTGGTGTTAGTAGTTGTGGTTGTTGTGTTACTGTGCTGTTAGTAGTTGTGGTTGTTGTGTTACTGTGGTGTTAGTAGTTGTGGTTGTTGTGTTACTGTGTTGTTAGTTGTTGTGGTTGTTGTGTTACTGTGGTGTTAGTAGTTGTGGTTGTTGTGTTACTGTGGTGTTAGTAGTTGTGGTTGTTGTGTTACTGTGCTGTTAGTAGTTGTGGTTGTTGTGTTACTGTGGTGTTAGTAGTTGTGGTTGTTGTGTTACTGTGTTGTTAGTAGTTGTTGTGGTTCTTGTGTTACTGTGCTGTTAGTTGTTGTGGTTGTTGTGTTACTGTGCTGTTAGTAGTTGTGGTTGTTGTGTTACTGTCCTGTTAGTAGTTGTGGTTGTTGTGTTACTGTGCTGTTAGTAGTTGTGGTTGTTGTGTTACTGTGCTGTTAGTAGTTGTGGTTGTTGTGTTACTGTCCTGTTAGTAGTTGTGGTTGTTGTGTTACTGTGGTGTTAGTAGTTGTAGTTGTTGTGTTACTGTGGTGTTAGTAGTTGTGGTTGTTGTGTTACTGTGCTGTTAGTAGTTGTTGTGGTTGTTGTGTTACTGTGCTGTTAGTAGTTGTGGTTGTTGTGTTACTGTGCTGTTAGTTGTTGTGGTTGTTGTGTTACTGTGCTGTTAGTAGTTGTGGTTGTTGTGTTACTGTGGTGTTAGTAGTTGTGGTTGTTGTGTTACTGTGCTGTTAGTAGTTGTGGTTGTTGTGTTACTGTGGTGTTAGTAGTTGTGGTTGTTGTGTTACTGTGTTGTTAGTAGTTGTTGTGGTTGTTGTGTTACTGTGCTGTTAGTTGTTGTGGTTGTTGTGTTACTGTGCTGTTAGTAGTTGTGGTTGTTGTGTTACTGTCCTGTTAGTAGTTGTGGTTGCTGTGTTACTGTGCTGTTAGTAGTTGTGGTTGTTGTGTTGCTGTGCTGTTAGTAGTTGTGGTTGTTGTGTTACTGTCCTGTTAGTAGTTGTGGTTGTTGTGTTACTGTGGTGTTAGTAGTTGTAGTTGTTGTGTTACTGTGGTGTTAGTAGTTGTGGTTGTTGTGTTACTGTGCTGTTAGTAGTTGTTGTGGTTGTTGTGTTACTGTGCTGTTAGTAGTTGTGGTTGTTGTGTTACTGTGCTGTTAGTTGTTGTGGTTGTTGTGTTACTGTGCTGTTAGTAGTTGTGGTTGTTGTGTTACTGTGGTGTTAGTAGTTGTGGTTGTTGTGTTACTGTGGTGTTAGTAGTTGTGGTTGTGTTACTGTGCTGTTAGTAGTTGTGGTTGTTGTGTTACTCTGCTGTTAGTAGTTGTGGTTGTTGTGTTACTCTGCTGTTAGTAGTTGTGGTTGTTGTGTTACTCTGATGTTAGTAGTTGTGGTTGTTGTGTTACTCTGCTGTTAGTAGTTGTTGTGGTTGTTGTGTTACTGTGCTGTTAGTAGTTGTGGTTGTTGTGTTACTGTGCTGTTAGTAGTTGTGGTTGTTGTGTTACTGTGCTGTTAGTTGTGGTGGTTGTTGTGTTACTGTGTTGTTAGTAGTTGTGGTTGTTGAGTTATTGTGCTGTTAGTAGTTGTGGTTGTTGTGTTACTCTGCTGTTAGTAGCTGTGGTTGTTGTGTTACTCTGCTGTTAGTAGTTGTGGTTGTTGTGTTACTGTGCTGTTAGTAGTTGTGGTTGTTGTGTTACTGTGCTGTTAGTAGTTGTGGTTGTTGTTGTGTTACTGTGCTGTTAGTAGTTGTGGTTGTTGTGTTACTGTGCTGTTAGTTGTTGTGGTTGTTGTTGTGTTACTGTGCTGTTAGTAGTTGTGGTTGTTGTGTTACTGTGTTGTTAGTTGTTGTGGTTGTTGTTGTGTTACTGTGGTGTTAGTAGTTGTGGTTGTTGTGTTACTGTGCTGTTAGTAGTTGTGTTTGTTGTGTTACTGTGCTGTTAGTAGTTGTGGCTGTTGTTGTGTTACTGTGCTGTTAGTTGTTATCGTTGTTGTTGTGTTACTGTGGTGTTAGTAGTTGTGGTTGTTGTGTTACTGTGTTGTTAGTTGTTGTGGTTGTTGTTGTGTTACTATGGTGTTAGTAGTTGTGGTTGTTGTGTTACTGTGTTGTTAGTTGTTGTGGTTGTTGTTGTGTTACTGTGTTGTTAGTTGTTGTGGTTGTTGTTGTGTTACTGTGGTGTTAGTAGTTGTGGTTGTTGTGTTACTGTGTTGTTAGTTGTTGTGGTTGTTGTGTTACTGTGGTGTTAGTAGTTGTGGTGTTGTGTTACTGTGGTGTTAGTAGTTGTGGTTGTTGTGTTACTGTGCTGTTAGTAGTTGTGGTTGTTGTGTTACTGTGCTGTTAGTAGTTGTGGTTGTTGTGCTACTGGGTGTTAGTAGTTGTGGTTGTTGTGTTACTGTGCTGTTAGTAGTTGTGGTTGTTGTGTTACTGTGGTGTTAGTAGTTGTGGTTTGTTGTGTTACTGTGCTGTTAGTAGTTGTGGTTGTTGTGTTACTGTGCTGTAGTAGTTGTGGTTGTTGTGTTACTGTGGTGTTAGTAGTTGTGGTTGTTGTGTTACTGTGCTGTTAGTAGTTGTGGTTGTGTGTTACTGTGGTGTTAGTAGTTGTGGTTGTTGTGTTACTGTGTGTTAGTTGTTGTGGTTGTTGTGTTACTGTGGTGTTAGTAGTTGTGGTTGTTGTGTTACTGTGGTGTTAGTAGTTGTGGTTGTTGTGTTACTGTGCTGTTAGTAGTTGTGGTTGTTGTGTTACTGTGGTGTTAGTAGTTGTGGTTGTTGTGTTACTGTGTTGTTAGTAGTTGTTGTGGTTCTTGTGTTACTGTGCTGTTAGTTGTTGTGGTTGTTGTGTTACTGTGCTGTTAGTAGTTGTGGTTGTTGTGTTACTGTCCTGTTAGTAGTTGTGGTTGTTGTGTTACTGTGCTGTTAGTAGTTGTGGTTGTTGTGTTACTGTGCTGTTAGTAGTTGTGGTTGTTGTGTTACTGTGGTGTTAGTAGTTGTGGTTGTTGTGTTACTGTGTTGTTAGTTGTTGTGGTTGTTGTGTTACTGTGGTGTTAGTAGTTGTGGTTGTTGTGTTACTGTGGTGTTAGTAGTTGTGGTTGTTGTGTTACTGTGCTGTTAGTAGTTGTGGTTGTTGTGTTACTGTGGTGTTAGTAGTTGTGGTTGTTGTGTTACTGTGTTGTTAGTAGTTGTTGTGGTTCTTGTGTTACTGTGCTGTTAGTTGTTGTGGTTGTTGTGTTACTGTGCTGTTAGTAGTTGTGGTTGTTGTGTTACTGTCCTGTTAGTAGTTGTGGTTGTTGTGTTACTGTGCTGTTAGTAGTTGTGGTTGTTGTGTTACTGTGCTGTTAGTAGTTGTGGTTGTTGTGTTACTGTCCTGTTAGTAGTTGTGGTTGTTGTGTTACTGTGGTGTTAGTAGTTGTAGTTGTTGTGTTACTGTGGTGTTAGTAGTTGTGGTTGTTGTGTTACTGTGCTGTTAGTAGTTGTTGTGGTTGTTGTGTTACTGTGCTGTTAGTAGTTGTGGTTGTTGTGTTACTGTGCTGTTAGTTGTTGTGGTTGTTGTGTTACTGTGCTGTTAGTAGTTGTGGTTGTTGTGTTACTGTGGTGTTAGTAGTTGTGGTTGTTGTGTTACTGTGCTGTTAGTAGTTGTGGTTGTTGTGTTACTGTGGTGTTAGTAGTTGTGGTTGTTGTGTTACTGTGCTGTTAGTAGTTGTGTTTGTTGTGTTACTGTGCTGTTAGTAGTTGTGGCTGTTGTTGTGTTACTGTGCTGTTAGTTGTTATCGTTGTTGTTGTGTTACTGTGGTGTTAGTAGTTGTGGTTGTTGTGTTACTGTGTTGTTAGTTGTTGTGGTTGTTGTTGTGTTACTATGGTGTTAGTAGTTGTGGTTGTTGTGTTACTGTCCTGTTAGTAGTTGTGGTTGTTGTGTTACTGTGCTGTTAGTAGTTGTGGTTGTTGTGTTACTGTGGTGTTAGTAGTTGTGGTTGTTGTGTTACTGTGCTGTTAGTAGTTGTGTTTGTTGTGTTACTGTGCTGTTAGTAGTTGTGGCTGTTGTTGTGTTACTGTGCTGTTAGTTGTTATCGTTGTTGTTGTGTTACTGTGGTGTTAGTAGTTGTGGTTGTTGTGTTACTGTGTTGTTAGTTGTTGTGGTTGTTGTTGTGTTACTATGGTGTTAGTAGTTGTGGTTGTTGTGTTACTGTGTTGTTAGTTGTTGTGGTTGTTGTTGTGTTACTGTGTTGTTAGTTGTTGTGGTTGTTGTTGTGTTACTGTGGTGTTAGTAGTTGTGGTTGTTGTGTTACTGTGTTGTTAGTTGTTGTGGTTGTTGTGTTACTGTGGTGTTAGTAGTTGTGGTTGTTGTGTTACTGTGGTGTTAGTAGTTGTGGTTGTTGTGTTACTGTGCTGTTAGTAGTTGTGGTTGTTGTGCTACTGTGGTGTTAGTAGTTGTGGTTGTTGTGTTACTGTGCTGTTAGTAGTTGTGGTTGTTGTGTTACTGTGGTGTTAGTAGTTGTGGTTGTTGTGTTACTGTGCTGTTAGTAGTTGTGGTTGTTGTGTTACTGTGCTGTTAGTAGTTGTGGTTGTTGTGTTACTGTGGTGTTAGTAGTTGTGGTTTTTGTGTTACTGTGCTGTTAGTAGTTGTGGTTGTTGTGTTACTGTGGTGTTAGTAGTTGTGGTTGTTGTGTTACTGTGTTGTTAGTTGTTGTGGTTGTTGTGTTACTGTGGTGTTAGTAGTTGTGGTTGTTGTGTTACTGTGGTGTTAGTAGTTGTGGTTGTTGTGTTACTGTGCTGTTAGTAGTTGTGGTTGTTGTGTTACTGTGGTGTTAGTAGTTGTGGTTGTTGTGTTACTGTGTTGTTAGTAGTTGTTGTGGTTCTTGTGTTACTGTGCTGTTAGTTGTTGTGGTTGTTGTGTTACTGTGCTGTTAGTAGTTGTGGTTGTTGTGTTACTGTCCTGTTAGTAGTTGTGGTTGTTGTGTTACTGTGCTGTTAGTAGTTGTGGTTGTTGTGTTACTGTGCTGTTAGTAGTTGTGGTTGTTGTGTTACTGTGGTGTTAGTAGTTGTGGTTGTTGTGTTACTGTGTTGTTAGTTGTTGTGGTTGTTGTGTTACTGTGGTGTTAGTAGTTGTGGTTGTTGTGTTACTGTGGTGTTAGTAGTTGTGGTTGTTGTGTTACTGTGCTGTTAGTAGTTGTGGTTGTTGTGTTACTGTGGTGTTAGTAGTTGTGGTTGTTGTGTTACTGTGTTGTTAGTAGTTGTTGTGGTTCTTGTGTTACTGTGCTGTTAGTTGTTGTGGTTGTTGTGTTACTGTGCTGTTAGTAGTTGTGGTTGTTGTGTTACTGTCCTGTTAGTAGTTGTGGTTGTTGTGTACTGTGCTGTTAGTAGTTGTGGTTGTTGTGTTACTGTGCTGTTAGTAGTTGTGGTTGTTGTGTTACTGTCCTGTTAGTAGTTGTGGTTGTTGTGTTACTGTGGTGTTAGTAGTTGTAGTTGTTGTGTTACTGTGGTGTTAGTAGTTGTGGTTGTTGTGTTACTGTGCTGTTAGTAGTTGTTGTGGTTGTTGTGTTACTGTGCTGTTAGTAGTTGTGGTTGTTGTGTTACTGTGCTGTTAGTTGTTGTGGTTGTTGTGTTACTGTGCTGTTAGTAGTTGTGGTTGTTGTGTTACTGTGGTGTTAGTAGTTGTGGTTGTTGTGTTACTGTGCTGTTAGTAGTTGTGGTTGTTGTGTTACTGTGGTGTTAGTAGTTGTGGTTGTTGTGTTGCTGTGTTGTTAGTAGTTGTTGTGGTTGTTGTGTTACTGTGCTGTTAGTTGTTGTGGTTGTTGTGTTACTGTGCTGTTAGTAGTTGTGGTTGTTGTGTTACTGTCCTGTTAGTAGTTGTGGTTGTTGTGTTACTGTGCTGTTAGTAGTTGTGGTTGTTGTGTTGCTGTGCTGTTAGTAGTTGTGGTTGTTGTGTTACTGTCCTGTTAGTAGTTGTGGTTGTTGTGTTACTGTGGTGTTAGTAGTTGTAGTTGTTGTGTTACTGTGGTGTTAGTAGTTGTGGTTGTTGTGTTACTGTGCTGTTAGTAGTTGTTGTGGTTGTTGTGTTACTGTGCTGTTAGTAGTTGTGGTTGTTGTGTTACTGTGCTGTTAGTTGTTGTGGTTGTTGTGTTACTGTGCTGTTAGTAGTTGTGGTTGTTGTGTTACTGTGGTGTTAGTAGTTGTGGTTGTTGTGTTACTGTGGTGTTAGTAGTTGTGGTTGTTGTGTTACTGTGCTGTTAGTAGTTGTGGTTGTTGTGTTACTCTGCTGTTAGTAGTTGTGGTTGTTGTGTTACTCTGCTGTTAGTAGTTGTGGTTGTTGTGTTACTCTGCTGTTAGTAGTTGTGGTTGTTGTGTTACTCTGCTGTTAGTAGTTGTTGTGGTTGTTGTGTTACTGTGCTGTTAGTAGTTGTGGTTGTTGTGTTACTGTGCTGTTAAGTAGTTGTGGTTGTTGTGTTACTGTGCTGTTAGTTGTGGTGGTTGTTGTGTTACTGTGTTGTTAGTAGTTGTGGTTGTTGAGTTATTGTGCTGTTAGTAGTTGTGGTTGTTGTGTTACTCTGCTGTTAGTAGCTGTGGTTGTTGTGTTACTCTGCTGTTAGTAGTTGTGGTTGTTGTGTTACTGTGCTGTTAGTAGTTGTGGTTGTTGTGTTACTGTGCTGTTAGTAGTTGTGGTTGTTGTTGTGTTACTGTGCTGTTAGTAGTTGTGGTTGTTGTGTTACTGTGCTGTTAGTTGTTGTGGTTGTTGTTGTGTTACTGTGCTGTTAGTAGTTGTGATTGTTGTGTTACTGTGTTGTTAGTTGTTGTGGTTGTTGTTGTGTTACTGTGGTGTTAGTAGTTGTGGTTGTTGTGTTACTGTGCTGTTAGTAGTTGTGTTTGTTGTGTTACTGTGCTGTTAGTAGTTGTGGCTGTTGTTGTGTTACTGTGCTGTTAGTAGTTGTGGTTGTTGTTGTGTTACTGTGCTGTTAGTAGTTGTGGTTGTTGTGTTACTGTGCTGTTAGTTGTTGTGGTTGTTGTTGTGTTACTGTGCTGTTAGTAGTTGTGGTTGTTGTGTTACTGTGTTGTTAGTTGTTGTGGTTGTTGTTGTGTTACTGTGGTGTTAGTAGTTGTGGTTGTTGTGTTACTGTGCTGTTAGTAGTTGTGGCTGTTGTTGTGTTACTGTGATGTTAGTAGTTGTGTTTGTTGTGTTACTGTGCTGTTAGTAGTTGTGGCTGTTGTTGTGTTACTGTGCTGTTAGTAGTTGTTGTGGTTGTTGTGTTACTGTGTTGTTAGTTGTTGTGGTTGTTGAGTTATTGTGTTGTTGTGGTTGTTGTTGTGTTACTGTGGTGTTAGTAGTTGTGGTTGTTGTGTTACTGTGGTGTTAGTAGTTGTGGTTGTTGTGTTACTGTGGTGTTAGTAGTTGTGGTTGTTGTGTTACTGTGCTGTTAGTAGTTGTGGTTGTTGTGTTACTGTGCTGTTAGTAGTTGTGGTTGTTGTGTTACTGTGGCTGTTAGTAGTTGTGGTTGTTGTGTTACTGTGGTGTTAGTAGTTGTGGTTGTTGTGTTACTGTGGTGTTAGTAGTTGTGGTTGTTGTGTTACTGTGCTGTTAGTAGTTGTGGTTGTTGTGTTACTGTGCTGTTAGTAGTTGTGGTTGTTGTGTTACTGTGCTGTTAGTAGTTGTGGTTGTTGTGTTACTGTGCTGTTAGTAGTTGTGGTCTCACCTCTTCGTCAAACAACAGCCGCCCGAACAGCTGGCGAGCAACGTCCATACCTCCCTCATCATAGAGCGCACCTACAGCATACACACACAAGGCATACATAGCACATATCACATATATATAGCATACACACACAAGGCATACATAGCACATATCACATATATATAGCATACACACACATAGCAGACACACACATAGCATATACACACACATAGCAAATACTTAGTGCACACACAACATACACAACCCACAGCGTCTCAAGGGACAGCGACCCCCACAGAGACAGCGACCCCCACAGAGATAGCGACCCCCACAGAGACAGAGTCCCCACAGACACAGCGACCCCCACAGAGATAGCGACCCCCACAGAGATAGCGACCCCCACAGAGACAGCGTCCCCCACAGAGACAGCGTCCCCCACAGAGACAGCGTCCCCCACAGAGACAGCGTCCCCACAGAGACAGCGTCCCCCACAGAGACAGCGTCCCCCACAGAGACAGCGTCCCCCACAGACAGCGTCCCCACAGAGACAGCGTCCCCCACAGAGACAGCGTCCCCCTCAGAGACAGCGACCCCCACAGAGACAGCGTCCCCCACAGAGACAGCGTCCCCCACAGACACAGCGTCCCCCTCAGAGACAGCGTCCCCCACAGAGACAGTGACCCCACAGAGACAGCGTCCCCCACAGAGACAGCGACCCCCACAGAGACAGCGACCCCCACAGAGACAGCGTCCCCCTCAGAGACAGCGACCCCCACAGAGACAGCGTCCCCCTCAGAGACAGCGACCCCCACAGAGACAGCGTCCCCCACAGAGACAGCGTCCCCACAGAGACAGCGACCCCCACAGAGACAGCGTCCCCCACAGAGACAGCGACCCCCACAGAGACAGCGTCCCCCTCAGAGACAGCGTCCCCACAGAGACAGCGACCCCTACAGAGACAGCGACCCCCACAGAGACAGCGTCCCCCACAGAGACAGCATCCCCTACAGAGACAGCGACCCCCACAGAGACAGCGACCCCCTCAGAGACAGCGACCCCCACAGAGACAGCGCCCCCCACAGAGACAGCGTCCCCCACAGAGACAGCATCCCCTACAGAGACAGCGACCCCCACAGAGACAGCGTCCCCCACAGAAACAGCGTCCCCACAGAGACAGCGTCCCCAGAGACAGCGTCCCCCACAGAGACCCCCCCCCCCCACAGAGACAGCGTTCCCCCCCACAGAGACAGCGTCCCCAGACACAGCAACCCCACAGACACAGCAACCCCACAGACACAGCAACCCCACAGAAACAGCGACCCCACAGAGACGGTGTCCTCCCTCTGGGTACCTATGAGAGCCTCGAAGCAGTTGGCCATAGCGTGGCGCAGATCGGACTCCCGGCAGAGGTCAGGGCCGTGGGCGTACAGCATGAACGCGTCCAGCTGTAGCTTCTAGCAACAGCGTCACAACGGCGTCACAACAGTGTGACTACAGCACGGTTGTGGCGTGGTTGTGGCGTGGTTGTGGCGTGGTTGTGGCGTGGTTGTGGAGTGGTTGTGGCGTGGTTGTGGAGTGGTTGTGACGTAACCTTGACGAGGATTTCGTGATGCTGTACGCGTGGTTGTGGTGTTGTTGTGGCGTGGTTGTGATGTTGTTGTGGTGTTGTTGTAGTGTTGTTGTGGCATGGTTGTGGGTTGGTTGTGGTGTTGTTGTGGCGTGGTTGTGGTGTTGTTGTGGGTTGGTTGTGGTGTTGTTGTGGCATGGTTGTGGGTTGGTTGTGGTGTTGTTGTGGCGTGGTTGTGGTGTTGTTGTGGTGTTGTTGTAGTGTTGTTGTGGCATGGTTGTGGGTTGGTTGTGGTGTTGTTGTGGGTTGGTTGTGGTGTTGTTGTCGTGTGGTTTTTGGCGTGGTTGTGGCGTGGTTGTGGCATGGTTGTGGCATGGTTGTGGCATGGTTGTGGCATGGTTTTTGGCGTGGTTGTGGCATGGTTGTGGCATGGTTGTGGGTTGGTTGTTGCGTGCTTGTGGCGTGGTTGTGGCGTGGTTGTGGCAGAACCTTGGCGAGGATGGCCAGGTGCTGGTTCTGGACGATGGCCGTCCGGTACGTCGCTAGGCCGCCCTCCTCCAGACTCGGGAAGAGGAAGTAGAGGTGAACGCTGCAACCACAACAACAACAACAACCGCAACACCAATGGTGACTGAGTGCGGCTGTGTGAGTGGTTATAAGTGGGTGCGAGTGGTTGTGAGTGGCTATTCATGAGTGGCTGTTAGGGCTGCAGTGCCTCAAATATTGGCAGAAGTAGCCACCTCTTCTGAATGGCTGGCTGGGGTGCCATCTGTGGAGGACGGGCGAGGGGCGATCCGGAGTCTGAGACCAGAAAACGCGCCGGGCACAGACGATCTCCCAAGCGAAATGCTGAGGAAGGGTGGCATCTGTGTGCAGACTGCCCTACATGACATCATCACAATTGTCTGGACCACAGGATGGATTCTGCAGGATTGGAAGGATGCCCTGGTGGTCCCCCTCGTTAAGAGGGGGGACCACACAGACTGTAACAACTACAGGGGCATCTCACCTCTCAGTGTGCCGGGAAAGGTCCTGGTAAGGATTATTCAACATCGCCTTGACAGGCATGTTGAAGAGAGGCTTGCGAAGCCCCAATGTGGTTTGTGAGTGGTTGTGTGTGGTTGAGTGTGGTTGTGTGTGTGGTTGTTCTCACCTGGAGAGGAATTCTACGACAGCGTCGCCCAGAAATTCGAGTCGTTCATTGTGAGAAATCCTGCAGCAACAACAACCACAACTCAGCCACAAATCAACCACAACTACAACCACAACTACAACCACTCAATTACAACCACAACCACCCCTACCACAAAAAACTACTCAATCACAACCACAACCACTCAGCCACAACAAATCTGTCGCCGTGTCTCGAAGTCCCAGTGTCGCCAAGTCCCCATCTCTGTGTCCCTGTCTCCGTGTCCTCATGCATCCATATGGCCCCATATCCCCCGTTTCTCTCCGCATCTCCCCAGCCCCTCAGCATCTCCCCTCGCGTGTCTCCCCCCGTGTCTCTCCGCGTCTCCCCACCCCCTCAGCATCTCCCCCCGTGTCTCTCCGCGTCTCCCCACCCCCTCAGCGTCTCCCCCCACGCGTCTCCCCCCCGTGTCTCCCCACCCCCTCAGCGTCTCCCCCAACGCGTCTCCCCCCGTGTCTCTCCCCGTTTACCCACCCCCTCAGCGTCTCCCCCCACGCGTCTCCCCCCCATGTCTCCCCACCCCCTCAGCGTCTCCCCCAACGCGTCTCCCCCCCGTGTCTCCCCACCCCCTCAGCGTCTCCCCCCACGCGTCTCCCCCCGTGTCTGTCCGCGTCTCCCCCCCCCCGCGTCTCCCCCCGTGTCTCCTCCCCCCGCGTCTCCCCCCCGTGTCTCCCCCCGTGTCTCCTCCCCCCGCGTCTCCCCCCGTGTCTCCTCCCCCCGCGTCTCCCCCACCCCCGCATCTCTCCCTCGCATCTCACCGTGAAGGAGTGGGTTCCTGGTGGCCCAGGCGAGACATGATGTTAATCAGGGTGTTGATTCCTGTGGGAGTGCAAGGGGGGATCAGTGGGGGGGGGGGGGGATCAGTGGGGGGTGATATCAGTAGGGAGGGCAGCAGTGCTCAGTGCGTGAGAGGGATCAGTCGGGGTACGATGCTGACACCGCGCGTGGCGGGACGCCGCGTGTGCTATGTGACCGTGTGTGGTACGCGTACGTGGTGCGACGTCGTACGTGGTTTGACACTGGGTGTGCTAAGATGCCACATGTGGTACAAAGTGCACGTGGTGGTGCCGATGCTGCGCGTGGCACTACGCCGTCAACAGGCGTGGTATGACGATGCCTCACGCGGCACGGCGCCATGTGTGGTACGACACCGTCTCCACTCGCGATACGACACCACGGGGTGTGATGTCATGTCGTGTGCGGCGTGACGCCGCTCCGGTACGATGTCGTGTGTGGTGCGACGCCATTGCCGGTACCCTTCTTCCTCTGGTGCAGGTGCTGGGCACGCCGGTCCCCGTAGGTCGGCTGGCGCACGCCGCAGTTGGAGAGCGCGTTCCTCGCGTGGTCCGGGTTCATCCCGAAGTTCAGGTGGTGGCTCGGGTGGGTCATCGCCAGCTGGGGTCATCGGGGAGGTCAGGTTGCAATTGTGGTGGTTGTGGTGGTAGTTGTGGTGGTGGTTGTGGTGGTGGTCGTGGTGGTAGTCATGGTGGTGGTTGTGGTGGTAGTTGTGGTGGTGGTCGTGGTGGTGGTCGTGGTGGTAGTCGTGGTGGTAGTCGTGGTGATAGTCGTGGTGGTGGTTTTGGTGGTGGTTGTGGTGGTGGTCGTGGTGGTAGTCGTGGTGGTGGTCGTGGTGGTTGTGGTGGTAGTTGTGGTGGTGGTTGTGGTGGTGGTCGTGGTGGTAGTCATGGTGGTGGTTGTGGTGGTAGTTGTGGTGGTGGTCGTGGTGGTGGTCGTGGTGGTAGTCGTGGTGGTAGTCGTGGTGGTGGTTTTGGTGGTGGTTGTGGTGGTGGTCGTGGTGGTGGTCGTGGTGGTAGTCGTGGTGGTGGTCGTGGTGGTGGTTGTGGTGGTGGTTGTGGTGGTGGTCGTGGTGGTAGTCGTGGTGGTGGTCGTGGTGGTGGTCGTGGTGGTGGTCGTGGTGGTGGTCGTGGTGGTGGTCGTGGTGGTGGTCGTGGTGGTCGTGGTGGTAGTCGTGGTGGTGGTGGTTGTGGTGGTAGTCGTGGTGGTAGTCGTGGTGGTGGTCGTGGTGGTAGTTGTGGTGGTGGTTGTGGTGGTGGTCGTGGTGGTGGTTGTGGTGGTAGTCGTGGTGGTGGTTGTAGTTGAAGGTGGTGGCTCGGGTGATTCATCGCCAGCTGGGGTCATCGACGGGTCAGCGGGTGACATCACCACAGTTATCAGGTTGCGATTGACTCTGGTTGCAGTTGCGGTGCGAGTAATGGTGGCGGTTTTCAGTGGCGGTGGTGGTTATGAGTGGACTCGCTGATGACTGGTACCAGTGATGTTAAGATCAGCCTCTAAGGAGGAGGCTCGTGAAGGACACCAATGGGCCGTTGGAGGCAGTCGCCCTCCAGCAACAGGACAGAGAAGCGACGCTCACAACAACGAGAAGAGAGCTGGGCGGCTAAAGCACAGCGAGTTGGCACAGTGTGGGGCACAGGTGGTACATCTGCCAGTCGTCTCAGCCAGTCAACCCGTGGCACCTGGGTCTATTCCCGTGACCTTCATCAGCAGCGGGCCTTCGACACTTCACGTGATAGCCTCGAAGTGCACCTGGCCTGGCACAGGCACCGTGGTGACGTCACCGTCACTTAGCGGCGAATGGCGGGTATTGGTGTATTGGTGGTTATGGTGGCAATTGTGGTGGTTGTGGTGGTTGTAGTTGTGGCTAAGGGGGTTATCATTGTGGTGGTAGTCATGGTGGTGGTTGCAGTGGTGACGGTGGCTATGATAGCCATTGTGGTGGTTGTATTTGAAGTTATGGTGATTATGATGGTGGCTGTGGTGGTGGTTGTGGTGGTAGTGGTGGTAGTTGTGGTGGTTGTAGCAGTGGTTATGGTGGTTATGGTCGTTGGAATTGTGGTGGTTTTATCTTCTTGGTTCTTTCGGTAAAGTCACGTAGAAGGGAAGTAATAAAATAATAAAAATTAAACATAATAAAATAATTCTCACGACGTTTCGGCCACAACGCAAGCAGCCGTCTTCAGGTGGAGAACAGGTCTGTCAAGTAGACAGAGTCTGTCACCTGAAGACGGCTGCTTGCGTTGTGGCCGAAACGTTGTGAGAATTATTTTATTATGTTTTATTTTTATTATTTTATTACTTCCCTTCTACGTGACTTTACCGAAAGAACCAAGAAGATGAATCCCTGCAGTCACGAAAGCTTTAAATCGAAATGTGGTGGTTTTAGTTGTGGTTATGATGGTTGTTGCGATGGTGGTTGTAGTTGAGGGTATGGTGGTTGTGGTGGTGGTTGTTGTGGTGGTGGTTGTACCTGTAGGAGCTCGCGGTTGTTGAACCGGTACCCCAGCAGAGTCTCCAAGTGCTGTAGGCACTGGTGGTAGCGGATGTGGTGAGTAAGCACAGGCAGCATCATCGCGTGCTGCAACAACAACCACAACAACAACCACTACAATCACCAAAGATAAAGATCACCCGGATAGACAAAACAGACCGTTGGGGCAAGTGCTGTTTAGTGAAGGCCGGCACAGCACACAAGGGGGTGGGTGGCCAGCACAACGCCCGGCCGCCTTTGTCTCCCTAGTGGCAATGTTTACACACTGCACCAGGTACTCATTTGAGGCCGAGTCGACCTAGGGGAGGAGGCCTGGGCACAGGTTCAGATAATCTCCGTGAGCGGGAATCGAACTCGTGTCGCCGGTTCGTAGCGCCACGCACAAACCGCTGCACACGTTGAAATGAGGATCACATTAAGTCATTGCCGGTGTGAGGGTCAGGGCAGGTGAGGTCAGGGTCAGGCTCAGGTGAGGTCAGCATTGTGACAGCTGAGGTCAAGGTGGGGTCAGGTGAGGTCAGGGTCAGGGCAGGTGAGGTCAGGGTCGGGACAGGCGATGTTGTGGTCACCTGACAGACGTCCGACCGCAGCCCCGTCCGGTAGAAGCCGCGGCTGCTGAGCTCCACGGTGACCTCACGTCGCATCGAGTTCTTCTGCCTGATCCTCTGCAGGGCCTCCTACACAGAGACAAAGATCCCCCACATAGCCTTTAGCAGACTGTTGGGGCAAGTGCCGGTTTATTTATATATATATACACAGTGAGTTGCGCGCACGAAAGCCAGCAGGGCGCACGAGACGGTGGGTGGCCGCCTTCATCTCCCCCGGCGGGGATGTTGACTACACGCCGCGACGGGTACTCGTTTAAGGCCGAGTCGACCTAGGGGAGGAGGCGCGGGACGCGGTTCAGATAGTCGCCGCGGTTATTGGTCGCAAGCGGCAATCGTACTCGGGTCGCCGGGTTCGTAGGGGGGGGGGGGTGCGCTTACCGCTGTGCCACACACACACTCACCTCTCTCTGCATGAGCCTCTGCTTGTAGGAGGCTTTCCCTTTGGGGCTGTTTGCCAGCAAATGTCTCAACTTCAGATAACTCCTCCACAGCTTCTGGTACCTGGCGATGACACGGGGAGACGAGGGGACACGCGGGGAGACGCGAGAGACGAGGGGAGACACGGGGAGCAGAAGGGAGATAGCAGTAGGAGCAAGGAGTCACAAAGGGTGAGAAGGGAGAGAAGTATTGGTGAGTATTGTTGATAAGTGGTGAGCATTGCGGATAAGTTCTGAGCGAGTGGCGAGTGGGTGGCGAGCGAGTGAGTGGTGAGCGGGTGGTGAGTGAGTGAGTGGTGAGCGGGTGGTGAGCGAGTGGGTGGTGAGCATTGCGGATAAGTTCTGAGCGAGTGGTGAGCGAGTGGCGAGTGGGTGGCGAGTGAGTGGTGAGCAGGTGGTCAGTGGGTGGCGAGTGAGTGAGTGGTGAGCGGGTGGTGAGCGAGTGGTGAGCGACTGGCGAGTGGGTGGCGGGTGAGTGAGTGGTGAGCGGGTGGTGAGTGGGTGGCGAGTGATTGAGTGGTGAGTGGGTGGTGAGCGAGTGGCGAGTGGGTGGCGAGTGAGTGAGTGGGTGAGTGGTGAGCGGGTGGTGAATGGGTGGCGAGCGAGTGAGTGGTGAGCGGGTGGTGAGTGAGTGGTGAGCGGGTGGTGAGCGAGTGGGTGGCGAGTGAGTGAGCGGGTAGTGAGTGAGCGAGTGGCGAGTGGGTGGCGAGCGAGTGAGTGGTGAGCGGGTGGTGAGTGGGTGGTGAGTGAGTGGTGAGCGAGTGAGTGGTGAGTGGGTGGTGAGTGAGTGAGTGAGTGGTGAGCGGGTGGTGAGTGGGTGGTGAGCGGGTGATGAGTGGGTGGCGAGTGAGTGAGTGGCGAGCGAGTGAGTGGCAAGCGAGTGAGTGGTGAGCGTGTGGTGAGTGGGTGGTGAGCGGGTACTCACTGCGGGTGGTGAGTGAGCGTGTGGCGAGTGGGTGGTAAATGGGTGGTAAGTGGTGAGCGAGTGGCGAGTGAGTGGTGAGCGTGTGGTGAGTGGGTGGTGAGCAGTACTCACTGCGGGTGGTGAGTGAGTGGGTGGTGAGTGGGTGGCGAGTGGGTGGTGAGTGGGTGGTAAGTGGTGAGCGAGTGGCGAGTGAGTGAGTGGTGAGCGTGTGGCGAGTGGGTGGTGAGTGAGTGAGTGAGTGGTGAGCGCGTGGTGAGTGGGTGGTGAGTGGGTACTCACTGCGGGTGGTGAGTGAGCGGGTGGTGAGTGAGCGGGTGGTGAGTGGGTGGTGAGTGAGCGGGTGGTGAGTAGGTGGCGAGTGAGTGAGTGGCGAGCGAGTGAGTGGCAAGCGAGTGAGTGGTGAGCGTGTGGTGAGTGGGTGGTGAGCGGGTACTCACTGCGGGTGGTGAGTGAGCGTGTGGCGAGTGGGTGGTAAGTGGGTGGTAAGTGGTGAGCGAGTGGCGAGTGAGTGGTGAGCGTGTGGTGAGTGGGTGGTGAGCAGTACTCACTGCGGGTGGTGAGTGAGTGGGTGGTGAGTGGGTGGCGAGTGGGTGGTGAGTGGGTGGTAAGTGGTGAGCGAGTGGCGAGTGAGTGAGTGGTGAGCGTGTGGCGAGTGGGTGGTGAGTGAGTGAGTGAGTGGTGAGCGCGTGGTGAGTGGGTGGTGAGTGGGTACTCACTGCGGGTGGTGAGTGAGCGGGTGGTGAGTGAGCGGGTGGTGAGTGGGTGGTGAGTGAGCGGGTGGTGAGTGGGTGGCGAGTGAGTGAGTGGTGAGCGTGTGGCGAGTGGGTGGTGAGCGGTACTCACTGCGGGTCCCCCGCGTAGCTCAGCTGCGCTGGGCGGATGCCGAAGTGCACGATGATGGGACTGGAGTCGTCCTGCGACCCCTGGGGCCCCTGCGAGGGGTCGCGGTCCAACTGATCGATTCTCACCGAGGTGGGTTTCTAACGGAGGCACAGGGACAATGTAGAGAGTGCTGTATTGTAGTGCCGAGGATATCACACCGTAGAGTATTATATAGCACTGTATTGTGTAACCACGGTGATGTGAGACGGACACACGGGCACGATGGGGAGAGACACTGGGAGATGGAGACACGGGGGCATGGGGAGACATGGGGAGACACGGGGAGACACGGGGAGACACGGGGACATGGGGAGACATGGTGAGACACGAGAGACATGGGGAGACGTGGGGACAGGGGGAGGGGCACATGGGGAAACACGGGGAGATATGGGGACATGGAGAGACACGGGGACATGAGGAGAAACGAGAGACACGGGGACATGGGGAGACATGGTGAGACACGAGAGACATGGGGACATGAGGAGAAACGAGAGACATGGGGACACAGGGGGACATGGGGACACAGGGGGAGACGTAGGGACAGGGGGAGAGAAGGAGACATGGGGCGACATGGGGAGACACGGGGGAAAGATGGGGACATGGGGACATGACGGGACATGGGGAGACACGAGAGACATGGGGAGAGAAGGGGACACACCGGGAAACACGGGGGGACATGGGGAGACGAGTACATGTATCCCCCGCTATAAGTTGCCGCAGTATGCGTTGTTTCACATACATGTTTCTGGCTAATTAGGGAACTAATTTTCTTCTAAGTCTAATGTTTTCCCTTTGCATTCTTTTTTTTAATTGCACAAATGCATTTTTTCTTACATTTTCAACTAGCAACACAGTATACCACTTTGTCTAGTGATATTACAGTATACCACACTGTATAGTATTACCACAGCATATCACATTCTTGCAGTATTACGATAGGATATCGCATTGTGTAGTATTACTAGAGCATACCCACATCGCACGCACACACGCACGCACGCACGCACACACGCACACGCGCACACACGCACGCACACACACACGATGCGTGCACGGTATTGCTACGGGACAACCGCAGAGTATACGTCGTCACTACTACGACTATTACTACGTCACCACAAAGACGTCACCACGACTACGTCACCACGACTACGTCACCACGACTACGTCACCACTACGTCACCACGACTACGTCACCACGACTACGTCACCACGACGACGTCACCACAAAGACGTCACCACGACTACGTCACCACAACTACGTCACCACGACTACGTCACCACGACTACGTCACCACGACGACGTCACCACAAAGACGTCACCACGACTACGTCACCACAACTACGTCACCACGACTACGTCACCACGACTACGTCACCACGACGACGTCACCACAAAGACGTCACCACGACTACGTCACCACAACTACGTCACCACGACTACGTCACCACGACTACGTCACCACGACGACGTCACCACAAAGACGTCACCACAAAGACGTCACCACGACTACGTCACCACAACTACGTGACCGTGACGACGTCATCGCGTCACCGCGGCGACGTCACCACAACTACGTCACCACAACTACGTCACCACAACTACGTGACCGCGACGACGTCACCGTGACGACGTCACCGCGTTGACGTCACCGCAATGTCGCCGGCGCTCTCACCGCGACGAGGTCACCGCGGCGACGCCGCCGGTGCTCTCACCGTGACGGGGTTGGTAACGATCATGCCCTTGCACTCCTCGGCGAAGCGCTGCCAGCGCGCGTCGGTCCACGAGCGCAGTTCGGCCTCCTGGGGGTCCGACACGAGGGGAGTGGCGCTGCGTAGCAGGAAGAGCAGCACCTGGTGCAGCGACAGCACCTCCTTGCCGTTGTCTGCCGCAGACAGACCCACAGGCCACAGGTGCCCCCCCCCCACCCCCCCCAGAGTAGCGTCAACAGGCTGCGGGGTGGGGGTGGGGGTGGGGCGGAGGCAGGCTTGGGGTTGGGGGCAGGGATAGTTGTCTTTGTGGTGGTGGTTGTGTTTGTGGTGGTGGTGATGGTTGTGTTTGTGGTGGTTGTTGTTTTTGAGGTGGTTGTGTTTGTGGTGGTGGTTGTGTTTGTGGTGGTGGTTGTCTTTGTGGTGGTGGTTGTGTTTGTGGTGGTGGTTGTGTTTGTGGTGGTGGTTGTGTTTGTGGTGGTGGTTGTGTTTGTGGTGGTTGTTGTTTTTGAGGTGGTTGTGTTTGTGGTGGTGGTTGTGTTTGTGGTGGTGGTTGTGTTTGTGGTGGTGGTTGTGTTTGTGGTGGTGGTTGTGTTTGTGGTGGTGGTTGTGTTTGTGGTGGTGGTTGTGTTTGTGGTGGTGGTTGTGTTTGTGGTGGTGGTTGTGTTTGTGGTGATGGTTGTGTTTGTGGTGGTGGTTGTGTTCGTGGTGGTGGTTGTGTTTGTGGTGATGGTTGTGTTTGTGGTGGTGGTTGTGTTTGTGGTGGTGGTTGTGTTAGTGGTGGTGGTTGTGTTTGTGGTGATGGTTGTGTTTGTGGTGGTGGTTGTGTTCGTGGTAGTGGTTGTGTTCGTGGTGGTGGTTGTGTTTGTGGTGGTGGTTGTGTTTGTGGTGGTGATTGTGTTTGTGGTGGTGGTTGTATTTGTGGTGGTTGTGTTTGTGGTGGTGGTTGTGGTGATTGTGTTTGCGGTGGTGGTGGTTGTGGTGGTGGTGGTTACCGGGCAGCGAGCGCACGAATCTTGGGAAGAAGTGGAACCGCGGGCACGAGGAGCGGCCATCGGGGAACTGGGGTCCTGACAACAACAACCACCACCGTCAACAACTAAACCACCACACCCAACCACTCAACAACAACAACAACAACCACAACAACAAGGCGAACCTCACCAGAGAGGTCCCAGTCGTGGAGCTCCAACAGGTCCCAGAAAATGAACGACGACAGCAGCTCCAGACCCCGCACCGTGAAGTTCTAACCACAACCACCACAACAACCACAACAATCACAACCACAACAACCACCACAACCACAACAACCACCACAACCACAACAACCACAACAATCACAACAATCACAACAACAATCTTAACAACCACCACAACCACAACAACCACAACAATCACAACCACCACAACCACCACCACAACCACCACAACAACCACAACAACCACCACAACCACAACCACCACAACAACCACAACCACCACCACAACCACCACCACAACCACAACCACCACCACAACAACCACAACAACCACAACAACCACCACAACCACAACAACCACAACAACCACAACAACCACAACAATCACAACAACCACCACAACCACCACCACAACAGCCAGATTAACCACCACAGCAACCACAACAACCACAACAACCACAACAACCACCACCACAACAGCCAGATTAACCACCACAGCAACCACCACAACCACCACAACCACCACCACAACAGCCAGATTAACCACCACAGCAACCACATTAACCACAAACCAAGATTAATCACAACCACTGCAGCAACAACCACAACAACATCCACAACAACCAAATTAAGCAAATTAACCAACAACAACCACAACCACCACAACAACCATAACCACCATAACCACAACCACCATAACCCCAGCAACCACAACAGCTACCAGATTAACCAACAACCACCACAACAACCACAACCACCACCACAGCAACCACATTAATCACAATAGCCAGCCAGATTAACCACAACAACCACATTCGTGGAAACACCCACAACCACATTAAGAAACAACCACCACATGAACCACCAACCACGACGATAAACACCATAACCACATTAACTACAGCCACATTAATCACACCAACAAACACAATAACCACAACCACATAAACCACTACAACCACAACCATACTAACCACAACCACCACATTAATCACAACAACCACCACAATAACCATAACCACAATCATCACAACATCCACAACAACTACATTCCTCACAACATTCACAACCACCACATTCCTCACAACAACCACAGCAATAACCACAACCACAATAGCCACAGCAACCACAACAGCCACCACATTTATCACAACAACCACAACTACATTAACCACCACAAACATACAAGCACCCAAGCATCCGAGCTGGTAAATGTGTGCATTAGTGAATGAGCGAGCGAGCTAGTAAGCTAGTGAGTGATATGGCAAGCTAGTGAGCTAGCGAGTTAGTAAGCTAGTTAACGAGAGGAATAGTCGACTGTTAAGCAGGCAGGTTAGTAAGTAGACTGGTTAGTGAGTGAGCGAGTGAGCTGTTAATCTAGTAAGCAGGTGAGCAAGAGAACGAGTGAGAAAACCAGTAAGCTTGTGAGTATACTGGTTAGTGAGCGAGCTAGTGAGTGTGTAAGCTGGTGAGCTAGAGAAAGAGAAGAGTAAACTAGTAAATGAGCGAGCGAGTCAGTAAACGAGTGAGCATACTTGTTAGTAAGTGAGCTAGTGGGTTGATAATTAGCGAGTAATCTTTTGAGCAGGGCAGTTGTCAATCTAGTGAGCAAGTGAGTAAACTAGCGAACATGTGAGCTGGAGAGTTAGTGAGCGAGTGAGCTAGTAAGGTGGTGAGCGCGTGGGCGAGTGAGTTCGTAAGGTGGTGAGCGAGCGCGTGGACGGGTGGGTGAGTGAGTCAGTAAGGTGGTGGGTGGGCGAGTGGGTAGTGGGCAACTGAGCGAGTGAGATAGCGTGGTGGTGAGTGAGCGAGTGGGGGAGTGAGTTAGTAAGGCGGTGAGCAGGTGAGTGTGCGAGTAAGTCAGTAAGGTGGTGAGTGGGCGAGTGGGTAGTGGGCAACTGAGCGAGTGAGTTGACATGGTGGTGCGTGAGTGAGTGGGGGAGTGAGTTAGTAAGGCGGTGAGCAGGTGAGTGTGCGAGTTAGTAACATGGTGAGTAAGAAAGTGAGCGAGTGAGTTCGCATGGTGGTGAGCGAGCGAGTGGGTGAGTTAGTAATGTGGTGAGCGAGCGCGTGGACGTATTGGCGAGTGAGTCAGTAAGGTGGTGGGCGAGTGGGTGAGTGAATTTGTAAGGTGGTGAGCGGGCGAGTGGGTAGTGGGCAACTGAGCGAGTGAGTTCACATGGTTGCGAGCGATCGAGCGAGTGGGTGAGTTAGTAACGTGGTGATCGAGCGTGTGGGCGAGTGAGTCAGTAAGGCGGTGGGCGAGCGAGTGAGCGGGCAAAGCGGAGCAGTACCTGTGGCAGCGTCTCCTCCAAGAAGATGATGCTGTAATCGATGTTGAAGCGGACGACTTTACACAGTGTCACCTACATCCACCATACAGTGCAGGGTGAGCGAGCAGGGGTGAGCGGTGGTGAGCGGGGATGGCAAAAGGTGAGCGATGGCGAGCGTGGACGAGCGATGGTGAGCGGGGGCGAGCGAGGGCGTGAGGGTGAGCGAGCGAGGGCGAGCGTGGACAAACGAACGAGGGTGAGCGGCGGTGAGCGAGTGCTCGTGCGTGCGGATGAGCGCCAGCGGTGAGCGGTGTACGCACGTCCTTGAGGGGCGAGTGCGACAGGAGGGAGAAGCCTTCGAAGATGTACTCGTGGTCGTCAAAGTCAATCACCGTGGGGCGGTCCGTCTGCACACAAACGCAGCACACAAACGCAGCACACAAACGCTGCACACAAACGCAGCACACAAACGCAGCACACAAACGCAGCACACAAACGCAGCACACAAACGCAGCACACAAACGCAGCACACAAGGCCGTTGGGGCAAGTGCCGCGAGCCGAGTAGCGCCCGGGCGGGCCGGCACGGCGCACGACGGGGTGGGTGGCCAGCACCACGCCCGGCCGCCTTTCTCTCCCCAGTGGCGATGTTTATACATCACACCAACTACTCATATTGAGGCTGAGACGACCTAGGGGAGGCCCAGGATCAGTTCAGATAACTGTCACTGGTGTTGGCCGTTAGTAGCGCGGCGTAGCGGTAACCGGTACACTACCACTCCCCACTAACGCACACGCACGCACAGATGCACACACACGAACACGCACTCATACTCAGACTTACGCACATTTCCACACACATCCATACTCACTCATACACACACGCTCTCACACTCACTCACTCTCACACGTGCACACGCGCGCACACACACACACACAAGCACGTACCAGGAAGTTGGTTGCCGGGGAGACGGTGACGCGGTAGTGGAACAGGCGCCCAGCGTTGTTCCCCGTCGGGCGGCACGCTTCAATCGGCTGCTCGCAACCACGGCAACCACGACCATCCAGTCAACCACAACTGCCACAGTAACCATGTGGTGTGGGTGTTGTGTGGGTGTTGTGTGGGTGTTGTGTGGGTGCGGCACTGGTGTGGCGTTGGTGCTTTGTTGGTGCTGCGGTGGAGTGGTGGAGCTGCGACATTGGTACAGTGTTTCTGCCGCGTGGTTACGGTGTTGGTGCGGTATTGGTGTAGTATTGGTACGGTGTTGGTGCGGTATTGGTGCGGTATTGGTGCGGTGTTGGTGTGGTGTTGGTGTAGTATTGGTGCGGTGTTGGTGCGGCATTGGTGCGGTGTAGCTGCGGCGTTGCTCCGGCGTTGTTGCGGCATTTGTAAGACGTTAGTGCAGCAATGGTGGGGCGCTGGTGCGGCGTTGGTGCGGCGTTGGTGCGGCGTTGGTGCAGCGTTGGTGCAGCGTTGGTGCGGCGACCCCTCACCTCCTCGCCAGGGTAGATGGCGTGTCTGATCCCCGTGCTCCTGGCTCGCGCGCTGCACTTACACAGCGGCCCGTCGTTCATCTACACCACCACAACACAACAACCACAACAACCACAACTACAACAACCACAACAACTACACACTCACCACACAGCGGCCCGTCGTTCATCTACACCGCCACCACAACACAACAACTAAACCAACCACAACTACAACAACCACAACAACTACACACTCACCACACAGCGGTTCGTCGTTCATCTACACCACCAGCACAACACAACCACAACTAAACCAACCACAACCACTACAACAACTACACACACAGCGGCCTGTAATTAATCTACACAACCACATTCACCACAATCACAGCCGCATTAACCAGGTAACCAGGTCATAGTAGTGTGTATAGGTTAGCGCAACTGCGCTAAGAAATTTCCAACCCGCGTTCGATTTCCACTCGTGACCAAAAACTGTGGCGAATATTTGAACCAGTCCTGGGCCTCCCCTAGGTTAACCGAGCCCTAAATGAGTACCTGGTGCTGTGATAATCAGCACAGCGTGGGAACTGGGAACCCACCCCCTCGTGTGCCGTGCCAGCCTTCATTGGTGCTACTCGCTAACAGCACTTGCCCCAATAGTCTGTTAAGGCTATACTGGGGATCTTTGTCTTTGTCGTACCTGCCCCGTATCGTACCTGCCCTAGATCATTGAACCACAGCTCCGGGTGGAGTCTGTCTGGGTGACTCTTCCTGCGCCTGATCTCCTCCACCACGTCCACCGCACCCAGACCGCCCCCCGCGGCCCCTCCCCCCTCCCCCTCACTCCCGCACTCCGACTCCGACTCCGAGTCCGAGTCCGAGCTGCTGCTGCTGTCCGAGACGCCGCACGAGTGGCCTGCGAGACACGGGGGGAGACGCGGGGGGGGGGGATACGGGGAGATGAGGGATGAGGGAGGACACGGGGAGGGGGATGAGGGGGGACACGGGGAGACGAGGGGAGTCAAGGGACATGGGGGGGGGCGCGGGGGGACGTGGGCAGAGATACGGCGGGAGATACAGTGAGACACGGGAACAAGCGGAGACACGGGGAGAGACGCGGGGAGAGACACGGGGAGAGACGCGGGGAGACACGGGGAGAGACGCGGGGAGAGACACGGGGAGAGACACGGGGAGAGACGCGAGGAGAGACACGGGGAGAGACACGGGGAGAGACGCGGGGAGAGACACGGGGAGAGACGCGGGGAGACACGGGGAGAGACGCGGGGAGAGACACGGGGAGAGACACGGGGAGAGACGCGGGGAGAGACACGGGGAGAGACACGGGGAGAGACACGGGGAGAGACACGGGGGGAGATACAGTGAGACACGGGAACAAGCCGAGACACGGGGATGCGGGGAGGACACGGGGAGGCGAGGGGAGACAAGGGAGAACACAGAGACAAGGGGAGACATGGTTATGCGGGGATACACGGGGAGATGTAGGGAGACACGGGAGAAGGGGAGACACAGGGACACGGGGAGACAGAGTGGTGAGCACGGGGAGTAATGGGGAATGTGGTGAGTCGTGGTGAGGAGCGGTGAGGGGCGGTGAGGAGCGGTAAGCGCGCTCACCCTGGCTGGGGGGCGGCTCCCAGTGGGGGCGCGACGCCCGGGCGTCCCTCCTCCTCCTCCCCAGGCGCTGCTCAAACTCCTCGCAGAGGCTCGTGAGCAGAGACGTGCCCACTGCGGTGCTCTCACCCTGCTCACCACACACGCACCACGCTCACCACGTGCTCACCACGTGCTCACCACACGCTCACCACGCTCACCACGTGCTCACCACACGCTCACCACGCTCACCACGTGCTCACCACGTGCTCACCACGTGCTCACCACACGCTCACCACGCTCACCACGTGCTCACCACACGCTCACCACACGCTCACCACGCTCACCACGTGCTCACCACACGCTCACCACGTTCACTACGTGCTCACCACACGCTCACCACACACTCACCACACACTCACCACACACTCACCACACACTCACCACGCTCACCACGCTCACCACACGCTCACCACACGCTCACCACACGCTCACCACACGCTCACCACGTGCTCACCACGTGCTCACCACACACTCACCACACACTCACCACACACTCACCACGCTCACCACATGCTCACCACGCAGCCGACACACTCACGCTGCTCACCAGTGTGCAGTATTTAGTGTAAAGAGTGTGGTGTAGAGTGGAGTATGGACAGTGCCTAGTGCGATGTAGCATCTATAGCGAAGTGTAAAGTTTATAGTACAGTGTGGTATAGAATATATATAGTGTAGTATATAGCGTAGTGTGTAGTGTATAGCGTAGTATGTAGTGTATAGCGTAGTGTAGTGTATAGTGTACATCGTAGGTTGTAGTGTGTAGTGTATAGCGTAGTGTATAGCGTATAGCGTACTGTGTAGTATGTAGTGTATAGTGTAGTGTATAGTGTACTGTGTAGTGCAGGGGTGGGGAACCTTAAGTCTGCCAAGGGCGATTTGGATATTTATAACATCATTCGCGGGCCATACAAAATTATCAACTTAAAAATTAGCCCATTATATTTGGTCAAACATTTAATTAACTCACCCTAATGTGATGGCTGGAACTGCTTCTCTTTGGCGAGGCGTGTGATGATGTTAGCTGGTATTGATGATGTTGCTACTCACAACTGCTTTTCCAGGTTTGCTCCTAGATTTAGTGAATTTCGAGTCCCGCCTGCGGTTGCCTTGGCAGGGCCACACCAAATGGTTTTGTGGGCCTTATATGGCCCGCGGGACGGACGTTCCCCACCCCTGTTGTAGTGTATAGCGTAGTGTAGCATATAGCATAGTGTAGTGTGCAGTGTAGTGTATAGCGTAGTGTAGCATATAGCATAGTGTAGTGTGCAGTGTAGTGTATAGCGTAGTGTAGCATATAGCATAGTGTAGTGTAAAGTGTAGTGTATAGCGTAGTGTAGTGTATAGCATAGTGTAGTGTATAGCATAGTGTAGTGTGTAGTGTAGTGTATAGCGTAGTGTAGTGTATAGCGTAGTGTAGTGCATAGCGTAGTGTAGTGCATAGTGTAGCGTAGTGGTAGTGTATAGCGTAGTGTAGTGTATAGTGTAGTGTATAGCGTAGTGTAGTGTATAGTGTAGTATATAGTGTAGTGTATAGTGTAGTGTATAGTGTAGTGTATAGTATAGTGTATAGTGTAGTGTGTAGCATATAGCGTAGTGTAGTGTATAGTGTAGTGTAGTGTATAGTGTAGTGTATAGTGTAGTGTATAGTGTAGTGTAGTGTATAGTGTAGTATAGTGTAGTGTATAGTGTAGTGTATAGTGTATAGTGTAGTGTATAGTGTAGTGTATAGTGTAGTGTATAGTGTAGTGTATAGCGTAGTGTAGTGTATAGTGTAGTGTATAGTGTAGTGTATAGTGTAGTGTAGTGTATAGTGTATAGTGTAGTGTACTGTATAATGTAGTGTATAGTGTAGTGTATAGTGTAGTGTATAGTGTAATGTATAGTGTACTGTATAGTGTAGTGTATAGTGTAGTGTATAGTGTAGTGTATAGTGTAGTGTATAGTGTAATGTATAGCGTAGTGTATAGCGTAGTGTAGTGCATAGCGTAGTGGACACCGCAGGGTGTGTAGGTGCTCTGCGGGTGGCCCACCACTTGGTCGAGGGGGTCCAGGGAGAAGTAGCTCTCGCTGGTGGAGCAGCGCACCCACACGGGGCGCTCCGGGTTGAAGTCCTCGTGCCGCGGGGGCAGCGTGGCAGTCGGGCCTGGGGAGGGGGAGGGGGGGTCGGCCCCCTCCCCCCGGCCCCGCACGGCGTGGGGGCGAGGGGAGGGGCGGCGGGGGGAGGGGTCGTCGTGGCGACGGCTCTCGCGACCCCGCGACCCGCTAGGGGTTGCACGTGGGAAGGGGTGAGATGTCAGAGAGAGACCAACGAGTGGTAACTTCCCGTCTCCTCGCAAGTTCACGTAGCCAAGTCCCCGTGTCCCTCTCTCGCATGTCTATCTCTCCCCGTGTCCTTCTCTCCCTATGTCTCCGTGTCCCTCTCTTCCCATGTCCCTCTCTCCCCGTGTCTCCATGTCCCTCTCTCCCCGTGTCCCTCTCTCCCCAAGTCCCCGTGTCCCTCTCTCGCGTGTCTCTCTCTCCCTGTGTCTCTCTCTCCCCATGCCCCCGTGTCCCACTCTCCCCATGTCCCCGTGTCCCTCTCTCCTCGTGTCTCCATATCCCTCTCTCCCCGTGTCACCATATCCCTGTCTCCGCGTGTCCCTCTCTCCCCGTGTCCCTCTCTCCCCGTGTCTCCATGTCCCTCTCTCCCCATGTCCCTCTCTCCCGTGTCCCTCTCTCCCCGTGTCTCCGTGTCCCTCTCTCCCCGTGTCTCCGTGTCCCTCTCTTCCCGTGTCCCCGTGTCCCTCTCTCCCCGTGACTCCACGTCCCTCTCTCTCAATGTCTCCGTGTCCGTCTCCACCTGCGTCGTCTCCTGGAGGATTCGCGGTCTCCACTCCGCCGACTTGAGCGGTGGCGACGCTCCCTACAACCACAACCACCGCACCCACAGTGATTGTTGATTAAGTTGTTATTGTCATGTTGTTTTCATGTTGTGTTGGTGTTCATGTTGCTATTACGTTATGTTGTTAAGTTATTCTTATTATGTTGTTGTTATGTTGATGTTCATGTTGGTGTTGTTGTTGTTTATATTGTCATGTTGCTGTTATGTTACGTTTTTCTTATTGTTATGATGCTGTTATGTTGTTGTCACGTTGTTGCTCATGTTGCTGCGTTGTTGTTGTGATCTCACCTGCTCTCACTCCGTGACCTCTTCCTGCTCAACGGGGGGCGTGAGGGGGGAGGGGATGGAGGGGAGGGGCCCCTCCTCCCCCCCACAGAGCCCCTCCCCTCCCTCCATCCCCCTTCCGGGGCCACATCCACGTTCCGGGGCACCAAAGAGCCCCGCCCCTCTCTCCGTGCCCCTTCCGAGGGCCCATCCACGTTCCGGGGCCCCACAGGTGGATTCCAATTCTCATTCCGGGGCCCCACAGGTTTTTTCCAATTCTCATTCTGGGGCCCCACAGTTGAATTCCAATTCTCATTCCTGGCGCCCGAGGCCGAACTCCAATTCTCATTCCGGGGCCCAGATGCTCCGGTCCAATTCTCATTCCGGGGCCCAGACGTCCCAGTCCAATTCTCATTCATGGGCCCAGACGTCCCAGTCCAATTCTCCTTCCGGGGCCCAGATGTTCCGGTCCAATTCTCCTTCCGGGGCCCAGACGTCCCAGTCCAATTCTCATTCTGGGGCGTGGATGCTGAGGTCCAATTCTCATTCCGGGGCCCAGATGTCCCAGTCCAATTCTCATTCCGGGGCCCAGATGCTCCGGCCCAATTTTCCTTCCGGGGCCCAGACGTCCCAGTCCAATTCTCATTCCGAGGCCCAGATGTCCCAGTCCAATTCTCATTCCGGGGCCCAGAGGCCGGATTCCAATTCTCATTCCGGGGCCCGGATGTCCCAGTCCAATTCTCATTCCGGGGCCCCGAGGCCGAACTCCAATTCTCATTCCGGGGCCCGGATGTCGAGGTCCAATTCTCATTCCGGGGCCCGGATGCCGAGGTCCAATTCTCATTGCGGGGCCCGGATGACGAGGTCCAATTCTCATTGCGGGGTGCCGAGGCACGAATCCAATTCTCGTTCCGGGGCCCTCCGGTCGGTGGCGGGAGGCCGGGCCTGCCCCCTCCGTGGGAGGGAGGGGGGGTGCCGAACGGAGGGGGGCCCGGCGCGAAGGGAAAGCCGCCGCCCTGGGGAGGAGCCATCGGCGGCGGAGGGAAGGGGGGTGCCGGAGGGGGTGGCGCACCCCCCCTCGCAATGGGAGGAGGAAGGGCGTAGGAAGAATGTGGGGGGCCCATCGCCCGACCTGCGGGAGGGGGGTAGCTCTGTGGGGGGCCAAAAACCCTCCCCGTGTGAGGAGGAGGAGGTGGAGGATGATAGCCCTGTGGGGGGGGCATTACTCTACCTGCAGGAGGGTAATTCTGTGGGGGGCCCGTAACCCTGACTGGCGGGGGGCCCACCTGTGGGGGCCCACGTGGGGGGCCTAGGAAGCTGGGGGGCCCTTGAGGGAAGGGGGGAGGTGGGGGGCCCGGGTAGGGGGCGCGCCCCCACGGGGGGAAGGACATGGGGAAAGACGACGGAGCTGGAGGTGGCGACGGAGATTCTGCATAACGACACACCACGACAACAACCACGACAACAACCACGTTACTGCCAAGTTACACACAACCACAACTACCACATTAGTAGGCCTCGGCAAGGTAAGGTAATTTACCCTTTTTACCGGGTAAAAGGGTAAAGGTAAATGATACAGGTGTCGACATGCCAAGGGGTAAAGTAAAGGGTAGGGTAAAGGTAGCGCGGAAGAATTACCCGGGAGTGTAAAGGTAGCGCAAAGTATTACCCGGTAAATACCTTGTTTACCGCTAAAAGCTCCGTGGTGCAGTCCGTGGCCTCCATATTAAATTGCGATCATTGATGTCTGACCAGATGGAGACGGACCATGTTCTTGAGGTAGAGGACGAGGTCGAGGATGCCAGCAACAGCATTTTCAGGGTCGCTGCGAACAGCAATCGAAAGAGGCAGCGGCATGCGTTCCCGTGGGAGCACATGCACGATTGGATGGAGGGTGATCCCCATGTGCAGCAAGGAAAGCGGCCAGTGCGTGCACTGCCGCAAGTGGTTTTCCTTCCACACGAAAGCGTCGGGGTGGAAAGCCCACCTCAAGAAGCACAACGTGCTCGCCCCAGGCAGCGAGGTCGGGACGTCGGCGTCGGCGAGCCGCCGAATACAGCAAACGCTGAGCCGGCCAGCAATCCCGGATCTCCCCCTGGTAAACTTTGAGAACGCGGTGGTTGATTTTGTTACCCGAGGTGCAAAATTTCTTTGCGAGCCGCCGGCAGCGCCAAGTTCAAGACCTTAGTCCACACATTTACACAGGGATACGAGGACCCGTCGACCCGCACCATCATTCGCAAGATTGTCGAGCATCACACCATCATGCTGCCCATCGTCGGGGCGTTCTTCTCCAACCTGGACGTGACCATCTCGCTCACCATCGAAGGGTGGTCGAACCGCAACCTGAAGGGATTTTGGATGGTCACGGTGCACTGGATCGACACCAAATCTGGTGCATCAAAATCCATGCTGCCGACGATCCTCGATGTGAAGTCCGGAAGGGGTGTCGGCAAGCGCATTGGGGCCGCTCTGTTTGAGCACCTCCAAAGCCTCGGGCAGAATGTGTCGACCAAGCTGCTCGTTGTCACCAACGACAATGGCTCCGATGCAATCAGTGCTATCAAGACGTTGTTCTCGTCCTGGTCAACGCGGACGCCAGATATGAGCAGTTGCGGGCTTGCCACCATATTCGCTGCACGAATCATTCGGTCCAGATCGGCGTCGTCCAAGATCTCAAACTGATCAAGTCGACCAATGCCGAACTGCGCAAGGCGCTCGTCAATATCAGGCGCAGCAAGGTCGTCCGGCAGTCGTACCGCCGCGAGGCTGAGATCGCCAAGCTCGCCAGCAAGGAGCCGACGCACCAGGACTCGCCGACCAGGTGGCATTCGACGTTTCACATGGGCGACAACGCCATAAAGAAGCGTGTCCCATTGGACATTATCATGGCGCGCTTCCAGGATGTGATCAGCGTCGGTGCTTTCTCTGAACTGCAGTGGGCAAACATCGAGGGCGTGACAGCATTCCTGCGAATGCCGTGCCAGGTCATGACCTCATTGACGGCGGACCGCAAGTCGACATTGGATCTCGTGCCGGTGACGATGGAGCACCTGATCCGTCATTGCGATCGCGGTGAAGCCGCTCTTAGAGCGATCGATGAGTCCTTGACCGCGACGGGGATGAAGGCCGAACTGGTGCGGTACCGCGACTTCCTGGTTCAGGAACCCACCATTGTGGCATCCTACTTGAATCCACAGCTGCCGAAAACGTCAGAGCAAGATGAGCTGGCTACACGGAAGGCCACGATCCGCTCTGTCCTGCAGCATCGTGACTCGGATGTGCTCGCGATCCCGCCGACGGCAGTCGCTGCCCATATGGAGGAGCGGTCGCTATTCGGCACCCTATTCAGCAACGTCGGCAGCTCTATCGACGATGGTGATGAAGTCGATCATTTTCTGAGCATGGGCGTCACGACCGCCAGCGCCTTCATTGACCTAATGCAGTGGTGGTCTCTCCGCAAAGAGCTGCTCCCCGCCCACTACAAGATGGCCTGCGACTACTTGGGAGCGCCGGCGACGTCAACTCCCTGCGAACGCGCAAGTAGCGGAGCCGGGCGGGAGTTCACGGCGTTCGCCAGTCGCTGTCGTTGACGCTCTTCATCCAGTCCATGTGCCTTGCGCTCGTGGATCGCGGCTGGCTGCCTGAAGGTCCCGTCTAACCGGGCCGGAGTGGCGCAGGATCTTATTGCTCGTCGTTCGTCCGAGGACGACGGCAATGACGAACTTGATCAGGTTGTTGATGAGATCGTCATGGACCAAGACGACTGGGACGAGGAGGGTATTGAGGATTCGAGAGTATTCTATATGAATAAAGCGCTCTACCTAGCATTTACCTGTTATAAACCTTTTTCACGTGTAGTAGTACCCCAGTAATTACCCTGTAATCGGGTCATTTGTATGGGGTAAGGGTAAAAAGTAGGGGAAAGGTAGGCTCGTTGCTTTTGACATTTTACCTTTTACCTTACCTTGCTACAACCACCATGCTCCCACAAAGTTACACACACCACGACAACCACGTTACCGCCAAGTACACACCACAACCACCACGTTACCACCAATTACACACCACAACCACCACGCTACCGCCACGGTGGCGAAGAGATGTTAACTACCTCGCCTCGTATGCAGGAGGTAGTGGGTTCGATCCCGACCCTGACACCTGCTGTATATTTGGAGTTCTCATGTTTCTCTCTCTCTTCCAGTGGTCGCGTGGGTTACTCTCCGGGTCCTCCGGTGTTTCCCTCCACATTTAGAATCAACGTCACACGTTTAGAGTATTTGGCTGCGATAAATGTCCACTAGGATGATGATGAAAAGCCACTTTGCTGAGCTATCATTTGTGATCGCCAGGTGATTTCTGAAAAAGAGCTACATAGCTCAGTGGGGCCTTATCTGGTAAAATAAAAATTGTTTATACAGTAGTTTAGTTTCTAGTGTTACCCCGAGACTGGTAATGGCGTTCTTTCCCCAGGGCCAGACTCATTCAGCTCGATCCACTGCTGGTCTGCCCCCCCCCTGATCCCGGCCATCACAAACCCGCACTTTGCAACTGGCAGTGGGGCAAGAGCTGTTAGCGAGCAGCACCTGTGAAGGCCAGAACGGTAAACGAGGGGGTGGGTGACCAGCACCACCCCTGGCCGCCTTTGTCTCCCTAGTGGAGATGTTTACTACGCATCGAACCAGGTACTCATTTGAGGCTGAGTCGACCGAGGGGAGGCACAGGCACCGGTTCAGATAATCGTCACTGGTGTTGTTGGCCGTGAGCCGGAATAGAACTCGGGTCGCCGGGTTCCTAGCGCAGCGCGCTAGCCGCTGCACCACCACTTCCCTCTACAAAGACAAAGATCCCCCGTATAGCCTGGACAGACTGTTGGGGCAAGTGCTGTTAGCGAGCACCTATGAAGGCTGGCACGGCACACGAGGGGGTGGGTGGCCAGCACAACGCCCGGACGCCTTTGTCTCCCTCGTGACGGTGTTTAGGGAATGCCCAGGACCGGTTCAGAATAATTAATCATCACGGACGATGATGATGAGGGCAGGATTGGTTCCCTTCTGAATAAGAGCTCTACACAGCAAATCGTTCATAGTTTTAGCTGGCTACGTTACCCGCGTTACCTCAGCTTTGCCTTGTCGTTACCTTCCATTACCCTGCGTTACCTCAGCCTCGCCTCGTCACCCGCGTTACCTCCGCCTCGTCTTCGTTACCTTTCGTTACCCGCGTTACCTCAGCCTCGCCTCGTCACCTTTCGTTACCCGTGTTACCTCAGCCTCGTCGTTACCGTCCGTTGACCTCAGACTCGTCGTCGTTACCTTTGGTTACCCGTGTTACCTCAGCCTCGCCTCTGCGTTACCTTTCGTTGCCCGTGTTACCTCAGTCTCGGCGTCACCCTTGTTACCTCAGAAGCGTCGTTACCTGTCGTTACCCCGCGTTACCTCAGCCTCGCCGCCGTCGTTACCTTCCGTTACCCCGCGTTACCTCAACCTCACCTCGTCATTACCTTTCGTTACCCCGCGTTACCTCAGCCTCACCTCGCCGTCGTTACCTTCCGTTATCCCGCGTTACCTCAGCCTCACCTCGTCATTACCTTTCGTTACCCCGCGTTACCTCAGCCTCACCTCGTCGTCGTTACCTTTCGTTACCCCGCGTTACCTCAGCCTCACCTCGCCGTCGTTACCTTCCGTTACCCCGCGTTACCTCAGCCTCACCTCGTCGTCATTACCTTTCGTTACCCCGCGTTACCTCAGCCTCACCTCGCCGTCGTTACCTTTCGTTATCCCGCGCCGCCGTCCTCATTCACTGAGCGCGCGCGTGCGCTGATGACGTCGCCACGTGGGGTGCTCGCGGATGACGTCACCGCGTTCGGCTGCGTTGCGCATGGGTACGCAATGACGCCATCGCGTTGGCGGCGTTGCGATGGAAACGCGATGACGTCATGGCGTCGAAACGTTGCATTAGATTCGATGACGTCATTGCTTTGGCAGTGTTGCTTCGGAGACGCGTTGACGTCATCGCATCGGCAGTGTTCTGTGAATAAGCGACGTCATCTCGTCGGAGCGTTACTTCGGAGACGCAATGACGTCACCCCGTTGGAAGTGTTGCTCGACGCGATGACATCATCGCGTTCAAATTCTGGCTGGCGATTGGCCGAGCCGCCTCACAACCCCCTCTTGATTCCGAGGGCGATAAAACGAGAACCACTTTTGAGTGGGGACATCAGCGCTCGTTTATAACAAAAAATTGCTCAACGCAGCCAAACAATCACGCGAGCCTGGCGCTGCTGATGTGAGACCCTCAGCTCTGAACCCATACGGTTTAGGGGCCGTCCATAAATGACGTCACGCACCTAGGGAGGGGGTCAGACATTTGTGACGATGTGTGACGAGGGGGGGGGGGGTTTGAGAAATGTGACGTCACATCAAAATGCGCAACTTTAAATAAATACAGACAACACGTTCTACTTAATTAAATAGACTTCATAATAAATGTTTTCTCCTACAACATCAGAGTGCAGCGCCACATTAAATACGCACTACAATGACAATAGTTGAAAGCGATTTGAAGCATGGTTTATTTGGGGGGGGGGGGCAGAGCTTTGTGACGTCATATTTGGGGGGGGGTTTGACTTTTCGTGACACCGTGTGACGATGGGGGGGGGGGTCAAAAATCGTCCAAAATCGCGTGACGTCATATATGGACGGCCCCCTAGTGCAGCAGTCAACCCACGGCAGCTGGGTCAACCCATGGCACTTGACCTCCTGTCAAGTTCAAGTTCATGTATTAGGTGTAGCCCTGTGAGCCATTCGGCTCTTGAATCGGGTGCAACCGCAACAAACAAAACACAAAAACATGAACAAGAAAACATCTTAAAGTGAATATGTGACTGAGTGCAAACAGAAAATCCAAGAAAAGACAGCAAAATATTGCAGAAAAAGCACCGTACACCAACGCTGTGTGCAAAAATCCCAGTGGGATGCAAGTCAAACAACAACAACCACAAGACAACTTAGATTAAGGCCATCAGTCTAACTGTACTACAACAAACAAACATGGCCAAACCAAAACACTTTTCGAAATCACCAAAATAAAGCCATGAAAGCGGGCCTTCGACACTTCACGTGGCCTCAAAGGTGCACCCAGCCTGGCACAAGCGCCGTGGTGATGTAACCCCACTTGGGGGGGAGAATGGCGGCCGTTGTTGATGTGACAAGTTTGGTTCTGACTCAATTTTAAATCGTGCACAAGTTTGGGGTGCGTCTTTTACGATTCATAGAATAAGAGAATAGAGGCAAAACCTCGCATCTGGCAAGGGGCCTCGAGGTGGGGGGTGAGCCCCCACCCCTCCCCCGAGGGGGGCGGGGCCTGCACCTGCACGTGACCAGGCGGCCCCAGGGATTGACTGCAAAGCAGAGGTCGCAACCGGGTACCAGACACCCGTACCCTACCCGATACCCGCACCCTACCCGATACCCATACCCTACCCGATACCCGTACCCTACCCGATACCCGTACCTTACCCGATACCCGTACCCTACCCGATACCCTACCCGATACCCGTACCCTAGCCGATACCCGCACCCTACCCGATACCCGTACCCTACCCGATACCCGTACCCTACCCGTACCCTACCCGATACCCGTACCCTACCCGTACCCTACCCGATACCCGTACCCTACCCGATACCCGCACCCTACCCGATACCCGTACCCTACCCGACACCCGTACCCTACCCGATACCCGTACCTTACCCGATACCCGTACCCTACCCGATACCCGTACCCTACCCGATACCCGTACCTTACCCGATACCCGTACCCTACCCGATACCCGTACCCTACCCGATACCCGCACCCTACCCGATACCCGCACCCTACCCGATACCCGCACCCTACCCGATACCCGTACTCTACCCGATACCCGTACCCTACCCGATACCCGCACCCTACCCGATACCCGTACTCTACCCGATACCCGTACCCTAGCCAACACCCGTATCCTACCCGACACCCGTACCCTACCCGATACCCGTACCCTACCCGATACCCGTACCCTACCCGATACCCGTACCCTAGCCGATACCCGTACCCTACCCGATACCCGTACCCTACCCGATACCCGTACCCTACCCGATACCCGCACCCTACCCGATACCCGCACCCTACCCGATACCCGTACTCTACCCGATACCCGTACCCTACCCGATACCCGCACCCTACCCGATACCCGTACTCTACCCGATACCCGTACCCTAGCCAACACCCGTACCCTACCCGACACCCGTACCCTACCCGATACCTGTACCCTACCCGATACCCGTACCCTAGCCGATACCCGTACCCTACCCGATACCCGTACCCTACCCGATACCCGTACCCTACCCGATACTCGTACCCTAGCCGATACCCGTACCCTACCCGATACCCGTACTCTACCCGATACCCGTACCCTACCCGATACTCGTACCCTAGCCGATACCCGTACCCTACCCGATACCCGCACCCTACCCGATACCCGCACCCTACCCGATACCCGTACTCTACCCGATACCCGTACCCTACCCGATACCCGCACCCTACCCGATACCCGTACTCTACCCGATACCCGTACCCTAGCCAACACCCGTACCCTACCCGACACCCGTACCCTACCCGATACCCGTACCCTACCCGATACCCGTACCCTACCCGATACCCGTACCCTAGCCGATACCCGTACCCTACCCGATACCCGTACCCTACCCGATACCCGTACCCTACCCGATACTCGTACCCTAGCCGATACCCGTACCCTACCCGATACCCGGCTACCCGGCCGGGTACGGGTAGCCGTTTGCGACCCTGGTGCGGCCGGGTACGGGTACGGGTAGGCCATGAGTCACTGGTGAGTAGCCGTTTGTCACTAATTTCGGGTAGGGTACGGGTAGGGAACGGGCCGGGTACGGGTACCCATTTGCGACCCTGGTGCGGCCGGGTACGGGTACAGAGGGTAAGGCATCAAAACCCGTTTGCGACCTCTGCTGCAAAGCCACAACAGCAGCAGCAGCCGTGGTCGATCCACTGCCTCCAAAGACAAAGGTTTCCCGTGTAGCCTGAACAGACTGTTGGGGAAAGTGCTGTTAGCGAGCACCTCATGAAGGTCAACACGGCACACGAGGGGGTGGGTGGCCAGCCCCACGCCCGGCCGCCTTTGTCTCCCTCGTGGTGATGTTGAGGGAATGCCCAGGGCCGGTTCAGAATAATGGTCACTAGTGTTGACTGTGAGCGGGAATCGAACTCGGGTCGCCGGGTTCGAAACGCAGCGCGCTAAGGGGCCGTCCATAAATGACGTCACGCTATTTTAGACGATTTTTGACCCCCCCCCCCTTCGTCACACGACGTCACAAAAAGTCAGATCCCCCCCCCTTCAAATATGACGTCACAAAACTCCCCCCCCCCCCAAAAAAATATAAAACATGCTTCAAATAGTATTAAACTATTGTCATTTTGTGCGTATTTAACGTGGCGCTGCACTCTGATGTAGGAGAAAACATTTATTAAAAAGTCTATTTAATTAAGTAGAACGTGTTGTCTATATTTAAAGTTGCGCATTTTGATGTAACGTCACATCTCACCCCCCCCCTCGTCACACATCGTCACAAATGTCTGACTCCCCCCCCCCCCCTAGGTGCGTGACGTCATTTATGGACAGCCCGAACCGCTCCACTACCGCTCATCCTCAATCCTCCATCATCCTCGGTAGCAGCCAGGGTCAATCCACTGCTGGATGATGATCAATGTGATGATGTCTTGAGCCTGCGAGATGTCAACTACCTCGCTCGGTGTGCAGGAGGTCGTGGGTTCGAGCCCAACAATTTAAACTTATAAGTGAATTCAATAAACAGTCGTCTTCGTGGAACGGATTAAAGGCTTAACCGCGCTTCTACTGGTACTGAAGAAGAAACGGTGATGGCTGGAGAAATAATACATAAGTGATATTAAAGAGAATTTTTTTTTTAAAACACACTTTAATGAAATGTACCGTACTAGTAATGGAAGAACTCCACGACTCCAGGAAGTGGCCCCGAAGCTCGCCACAACGTAAGGGACCGTGGTCATTTACAGCCAACGTCAGTTGAGCGTGGACAATTAGACCCAAGCCGAAACATGACAAATAAAAAAGAATGTTTAAAAATATATGTTTTTCATGATATAATATAGTATTGTCATCAGTAAGACATAAATATACCAAGTTTGCAGTCGATACCACATTGGAAAGTGGGTAAAAATTGAGTTACAAGATTTGAGGATACGACAACAGACAGAGTTGATAGAAAGTGTGTAATATAAAAAAGGTCAAACTTCTAGATCACTCGAGGTTTTGCCTTTGTACTGTTCGCCCATGGCGTTGTTCTCTAGCCTGACATTGGTGATGTAAGGCCACAAAGACGGTTTCCTGCCTCTGGTGTAAGGCCAATCAGTTTGCACCATCTATAATGATCTTACAGCATATCCATGTTTCCATGTTCTCACCACAAGTCCCGTGTCTGGTTAATGCAGTAACTTTATTCCTTGCAAGAGATATCTCTTTGGTGTTAGAACATCTTAACACCTCCGGTTTTATTGCCAGAAAGGGTAAAACCTATTATTTGTTATACTTTGAAACTGGCAAAAAGGTCCCGTGATACCTCAAGACCAGTGGTTCTTAACCTGGGGTACGAGACATGGGCAGAGGTTTTTTTTTAAGGTAAATAATCGAAAACACAAATTAAGCACGGCACGGTAGTACAGCAACTACCTTGCATCGTCAATTTCAGTTGAGTTTATTTTGATGTACCCTGTCAGGCCAGAAGCTCTGAAAGTCGAGT